GAGTCAGAAACGTTTTCTCTGAGACTTTCCTTTGGTCAGACCTGACCGTCGGGTTAGTTGACCACTTGTGAATAAGGGACTGCCTATACTTCTAAAATGCAAAAGAAATTAAAAAAAAGCTTGGGTGCTTAGGTAATTTCCGTTGTCTTTTGGGATTTCCCATTGGTTTGAGCTCTTCACTGGCTTAGTTGGAATCTGCCAATTTTTTTTTCAAACAACAAAAAGTGCAATTATTTCTTTCGTTTAGTTTTCCTAACTAAACAATTCTTTTTAAATTTATTATTATTTTATTTTATGCAACAGGGATAAGCAAGGTTAAAGTTACTGTTATTTACCTAATATTAGATTTAATTGACTAAATATTTGACTACCGCTATTTAGATTATCCGTAGTCACTGACACACAATTGACACAGTTATTTTGAATAATGAACACCGATCACGTTACTGTATCAAAATTCTGAAACTTAAAACTTGCTTGCAAAGAGAGAAAAAAGACACATAAACAGATGCACAAATATAGACATTGTCCCTACTTCTTAAACAAATCTGACCCTAGGATTAGTTGACCATTACAATAATGCCACAATATTAACATTTATGTAACGCTGGAATGAGCCAAGTTACTGCGGGAATTACTTTCTGTTTTGTAACTTTACTTTTGTCTATTCAATACACTGTTGCCCGCACTTACATTATTTTACAAGTTTATTTTAAAATACTGTAATATTTAGTTTATCCTACGTGTCAATGGTCTTTGATTTCGCAAATATTTTGTTGTCGAACTTCTTTATATTTTAATCATTCCACATTTTTGTAAATCTGGCTAAATTTAAGATCAACATACGACTAGATTTGGTTGAAGTTCAGGTCAACTTTTGTTGTAATACGCCGAAATCTGTTACAGCTAAGGTCAACATTTTTTATAATACTACTAAATCTGGTTAAATTTAAGGAACTTTTTTGTAATCCGGTTAAATCTGGCTAAATTGAAAACTATTTACATAGACTGTTATAAACACGTATATTTTTAAACTAACATTTGACTATTTTAACTATCATAGTTTTTAAGTTTGTAGCTCCCATTTCTCACGACGAAGCCCTAATCATATAAAAAAAGCTAACCATGCTGTAATGTTTCAATTGTCTTAGTTCAATCTTTAAAAAAAAACCTTAGTGGGTTGCCGTGTTTCATCTAACCGATACATACATTCAACAGCCTACGTCGGCACTAAAAACATTATTGTTTTAATGTGGCACACTAAAATACACCATATAATAAACAAGTATTTTTTGGACTTACGCCATACTTTTTAATATGTACCGCGAGGTTAAAAAAAACATACAGGTAAAATGTAGTTTGTCTATGGATGGCTAAAGTTCCAAGAAAATTTAAAAATGCGCAAATGGAAAACTGCGCAAATCGAAACAAATTATACTAATACACTTTAAATTTGTCATATTTTGTGCAAACTGGTTTTTATTATGCTGCAATGTGCATGTTGTCATTCTTTGTTAATGTCTATGAATGCGGGATTTCAGAAAACAATATCCATGCGCACTTTTTTTGTGCATAGTTTTCCGCTGCGCAGTTTTCCGTCGCGCATCTTTCCAGTCACTGGTCCAAATTTGTATTTTACTTTTAGTTATCATCACGGTAAGTTTTTTTTATCTTAATTTTCACACATACAACTTCCTTGATTAACAGATCACCCCATCTGGCTTAACTTTGTAAACGCCATTCCTCAAGTGAGTTTATCGATCTCGCCACTCCTGGGGGCCCAGAACCCCCCACAGACCGTCACCCCCACCAACACACAGTCTAGTACCACGCCCCTGAAAGAGGTGACCCGAGTCAGAAACGTTTTCTCTGAGACTTTCCTTTGGTCAGACCTGACCGTCGGGTTAGTTGACCACTGCCATTATACGACTCAACCAAAATTTCATAACTTAATTAAAATGCTTGGGTTCTGTTGGAATTCCAGATTTGGGAATTTCCATTGGTCTTAACCCACCACTGCCTAATTGCTATTTGTCATTATATTTAATTTTATTCAACTGCTTTATACAATAATTTTGGTGCAGTGTCTATACATTTTTCCCATGGTGTGAGTTCCCTTTAGTTTTGCAAAGTTTTCACAAAAATATATTGTTATATTAAATCTCTTTTACGGCGACGTACCTTTAAATTATCTTCGTTTGATACACCGTCATACCCCTACAATATACTGTAGGTACACATACTTTATTTCTTCTTGACTATTTTAGCACTTTATTGATGAGCTTTTTTTACCTTAATTTTAACCTGGTGTTAAAATTTGAGATTTTATTTTTACTTCCGGAGAGTGTATGTGACTAAGGTTTAAGATCAGAAGCATAACACGTTATCAACCAACAACACAGATACTAACTATGGTGTAGGTCATAATGTAGACACTCACCCTGATGTAGGTATAACGTAGACACTCACTATAATGGTGTTAAAATCAATAATTAAGTACTCATGTCATTTGTACCTTCCGTATACAACTAAAACGTTTATGAATCTATTTTCTGTTTCAAAATGCCACAATGTAACATTTTAAATCAATAAAATCAATTGTGATAGTATCCCATAATCAAGAAACATGTTAAATTAATTAAATCAATCGTAATAGTATCCCATAATCAAGAAACATGTTAAATCAATTAAATAAATCGTGATAGTATCCTATAATAAAGAAAAGATATTAAATCATTTAAATCAATCGTGATAGTATCCCATAGTTAAGAATTATCTGTAAAGTACCTGTTGCAAACATAATTCAATATAGAGAGATCTAATTTAATAAATAGTAATTACAAGTCTTCTTTATTAGAGACAAATCTAAAACAATCTATCGCTTGTGCTTGAAATAATACACCACTATTACACATTTCATCCAGTTAGCGATGATCTGGTTATTGAAAGTTTGATCCCAGGTGTCTTCATACTTAATTAAAATATACTTTCATAATCGCATTATTTTTATACTTGATACATTTTTTGGCGTATAAATATTTTTAAAACCATCATCATTTTTAGCAAATTCGATGCGGTTAAAATAGAAGTAAATCTACGTCATTAAGTTTTGTATTGTTTTTATTATTGTGGTAAGGTTTGTAATCTTAATTTTCTCATAAACAACTTTTTTTGATCGACAGGTCCAATTTGGTATGATTTGATACATTCCCTCCCTCAAATAAGTTTGGCGGTCTCGCCACTCCTGGGGCCCCATAACCCCCCTCAGATCGTGGCACCCACTAACCCACCCACCAACACACAGTCTAGCACCACGCCCCTGAAAGAGGTGACCCGAGTCAGGAACGTTTTCTCTGAGACTTTCCTTTGGTCAGACTTGACCGTCGGGTTAGTTGACCACTTCTGGTTAAGGGAATTCGTCAACAACTCTACAAAATACTTGGGTGATGCGGGAATTTCCGTTTACTTTCGACATTTTTCTTTGTTTCGAATAGTCTTTAGGCTCTATTGCCACATGCCTTTCTTTTACTATTTTAATGTTTTTTTTTACAGCGCTTTTCCTAAAATAATGTGCATCGGGAATCCCAGATTTCTTTTTTTTTCTCTCATGTAGTATGCTAATTAAATAGTTCAAGAAAACTGTCTTCATTTCTAAAGAAAAAAAGCAGTTGTGGTATAATTGTGAAGTAAACAAAATACTAAACTTAGCTGGGTTATGTACGCCCTGAGTTTTTACTGAATATGCTTTCTCTTTGATCTTCCTTAAAATGACTTATTCTTAATCGTTTTTCCTCTATATAGGCCTACTATCAATCTAAGTCAAGATATGTTCTCAATTCTTAGGATCTTTACGAACATACAACAATCTTAATACATGCTTTCTATAATAGGTCAAAACCGTGATATTTTAACCAGGACTATGGTAAGAAAATATATTTAAAAAAAAACAACGTATGCAGTGCCTAAAATATTGAATCGGGGAATCCGACATCAGTTAAGAGCCGGTTAGATTGAGGACGATTACTCAGACTTTCCTTCCGTCTGTGTTGACTATAGTGAGGGTCATGTAACACCTCTTTTACTCTCCCATCCCTTCTTTCGCACACTATATATTTTTGTATATCTTTACTTCTCTATCTCCGCCCAAAACATATCTGCCTCTGTAGAAGAGTTATTGTTCTTTGTGTGGATCAAGCTTAGAATTTTCTTCCTTCTTTCTCCAAATTGTTTTACCGTATAAGATGTACCGATGCCGTTTTCTTCTAAAGAATGTTCTTGAAAATAACTGAAGTGAGTGCTTATGGTGCCTTTTGCCTTTGGTTTAGATGACTCACCCGCGTGTTATAGGCACGTCTATTCCAGAGTTTCTTCCAGGCATCTCTTCGTGGAATGGAAATTTATATAGAAAATATATACTTTTACCAGTGTCCAACCCCCTGAAAATTTATTCCGCCTCCCCCTGAAAATATCAAGGCCCCCCCCCCCCCGCCCCCCGGAGAAAAAAAGTATGGAAAAAACACTGGTCTATTCTTTGCGTAGTTATTTTTAAAAAGTGTAAGTTCTAAAACATTTGGATATTTTTATGGATGACACAACTCAAAACGTTTCTTGGCTTAATTAATTGTGATTGTAATATTTTCCTGCGCATTATCTCTTTTAAAAAAATGACAGCGCCATAGCGTTGTGTTATCCTATTTAAAATAAATTCCATTTTCTCGTACACAATTTCAAGGAAACTCGTCTTAGTTTTTGTAAAACCTTCTGTATTGAAAGCTGTGTTCAGAACGGTACACGTTTGAAATTGCTACAATATAATATATCTATATTAATGCAATTAAAAACTGTGAAAAAATAAATTTGTATTGAAAAGGCGATTTTTAAAATATATTAAAATTGATCTGCGAGCTTATACAAACAGTATGTTAAATAACTAGAGTAGGCATAAAGTACATCAATAATAAACATGTATTTAATAAGAAACCAAATCGTTTTTTTTTAAGCACCGAATCCGTTGTGGGTTCCTATACCCAATAGCCATTTCGCTGCGTATGTAGGCCCTGTATTTAGCATTGGCGCAGCGGTCCAGCCAATCACACCGGATCAAAACCCTACACCAACGGTGACCCCCATCAACACACAGTCTAGTACTACGCCCTTGAAAGAGGTGACCCGAGTCAGGAACGTTTTCTCTGAGACTTTCCTTTGGTCAAACTTGACCCTTGGGTTAGTTGACTACTACTGTTGTGCTAGTGAAAATTTTTTTTCCAACAAACCTTACCCTCAGAAAAAAAAGCACAGGAACTGAGGGGATTTTTGTTTATTTTTGGGGTTTTCCGTTTACTTTTGGGATTTTTCGTTTACTTTTGGGTATTTCCGCTTACTTTTAGGGCATTCCTTTAATCCAAACAGTGACATGAATTAGCTACACAACAAGCTCATTGCCACACCCCTCTTTGCTATATGTACACAATTTCTAAACTAGTGAACACATTGGTCATGGGTACTATGGTTATTTCTTTGGTGAGAGTTGAACCATTCTTAGCTTAACGATTCTCTTACACAAACAGAATACACTCGACGAAAACAATCCGTGCATTTATTAAAGTGTAACAACAAATCCAGGGGACGGAGTGGTCTAGCGGTAGAGAGTTGGACTGCTAACCTGCAAGTCTCGAGTTCGAATCCGGGTTCAAGTCAGTAGACCGTCTTGAGTCCACCCAACTCTGATGGGTACCCAACTCGCGTTAGGGAAAGTAAAGGCGGCTAGGCATAGTGCTGACCACACTATCTCTTTATAAGTAGAGGTCACAGAAACAAGTGAACTCTACTTCACTTGCCCTATAGACCGTCAGGTTTGCAAAGGGAACTTTTAACAAAAATTCAACACTTTTTAACCCAAATGCTAGCTATCTGGGAGATGATGGTCCCGGGCGTCATGTTCAACATTGCACCAGGCATGGGCGTGCCCCAGCCTCAGCCATCTTTGGTCGACCAGACTTCCGGTCTGCAGGAGCCCGCCAGAGTTAGGAGCAACTTTGTAGAGACCTGGCTATGGACGTCAGAAACGATCGGGTACTCTACTGCCCTACACGAACATTTTCTTCATGTTATATATTTTTTTCCTTAGCGCAACTTTTTATCCCCCTACACAATTTTCTTTTGTATACCTTGGGATAGGTCTTTCTCTTTTACTGTACTATAACAATGTATACTTAAAAAGAAAGTTCATGTGAAATTTTCACCTCATAAGTACACATTGAGTTGACTATATATTATAACACTAAGAAGTTGCTTGTAGTTTTACGAATACTTTAAAGCTATGAATCATTTTAGATTCTTAAATTAATTTATTAAATTTAAAATACAAATTTAAAACCTAGAAATTGTTATTATAAACCGTCAGTGTAAAAACTAAATTTTAGCCGTTAGGTTATAATTGAAGTTAAAATACAAAATCTGGGAATGTTGACGATAGAACGAGTATGGAAAATATATGTTCCTATTTTGACATCAAATCTAGTGTTAAATGTTGTTATTATCAGACATCATTAATTATGCTCATAATTCTCGTACAGTCACAATTCTTTAAAATGTTGTATAGGCGTAAAATTATTTTAAAAATCTGGGCTTCTTTTGATGGAATGTGTTTATATTGATATGAAAATCATAATGTTAGTCAAAGTATGCCTGAGAATTTCAAATCTTGGCGAAAATGGAGGGCTCATGTGATTCTACAAGAAAATCTCAGAAAATCCCGTATTTGCAGGAATCCGCATTGCTGAAAGGATATAGGGACTACCAAGTTCGAAGCTTTGGACAAAATGCGTTCTTTCGATGAAAGTAACACCTAGATGGGCAGAATTGTGACAAAGCCCCATCTGTATAGCTGCAATTATATGACAATATTTACCCGTAATGTAATTTAATATCGTCATTATTTATTCCCCCCCCCCCCCGCGCCCCGCCCCAGTCTACACGACCACCACGCCGTGGTTTTTCTTTACCACCACCATGATGATGACGTTTCCCACCATGATGTACCCAACGACCATGAACTTCATGCCCGCCCAAACCACGCCCGCTCCGGACAACCAGGGCGGAGATTTGCCGGAACCTCCCCGGATCCGTGTCAACTTTGCTGAGACTTTCCTCTACGAGACCCTCGTGACAGGGTACCTGCTTGCTATTTTAGTTTGGCCTCTCGTTTTGATAGATTTGGCTTTAATATTGTTGCATTCGGCTTATCGTTTTGCTGAATTTGGCTTTTTGGTCTCTCGTTTTGAAATAATTGGCTTTGATTTTGTAGCATTCGGCGTATCCTTTTGCTGAATTTGGCTTTTTTTTGAGGACACTATCTGTCTGGTGATCAGTCATGTTTCAATTATAATCTCTTTTAAAATACTATACTATTAATATTTTTTTCAATATCAAGTCTGTACCCCACTACGCTACCAGCTATCTAACTTTGCTATTCAAGCAAATAACTCCAAATTCTCTTTACATCTTTCGAAATCTGAATTGTATTCTATTATACAGCAAGTGGTGGCAGTTTGCTTTGTTTTTACTTGGTTTTTCTAGCATGCCAACCATTTGAAAAGCCATTAATCCTAAAACAAATATTTTTTTTTCTATGACGGAGAAATTATTCGTTGTACACCATGTCCTGGTGATAATTTATAACAACACATTGTTTGTAGAAACTTAATGTAGATCTAAATGTATTATATGTTACATACTATTAGATTTCGGTTTAAATTAGATAATCAGAAATGTAATGCCCATTTCTGGGTGAGCCTTTACTCGCCATGTAATTTCGGAAGCTTGACCATATAGTTAGTAAAATTTTGAACAGTTTGAATGACATTATCTCACAGTTTGTGTAGGCTTCATCATATTTTGTTTATTTTTTTTTGCCTAGTACGTACTGGAAACAGTCCTACAAATCGTTTTGCTTTAAATAGTTGAGAGCGTAGGATTTAGAAACACCTATCCCGTCTGAAGGTACCTAGGCTCGATTCTGTAGAACGTCCCTGAGTTCACCCATCTCTGATGAATACTCGAGTCCCGTAAGAGAAACTAAAAGTGGCAGGACATGGTGCTGACCACATTATCCATTTATTTGCCAGGGTTACAGAAACACCCGACCTGTACTTCATCTGTCCATTGCAAAGTCGTAGCGACCCCTCCCGGCGCCCGGGGACAAACTTTCAATTTGGCTCCCCCATATATTTTAATATTTATAATTCAAAACTGCGGCTTAAATGAGGTTTAATTTTCAACCTATGTTGGCGCCCGGGGACATATGTAACTCGCCCCCCCCCCCCTTCTTGTCGCTACGCCTCTGGTCCATTGAATCGCCAGGTCTGAAAGAGGGTAATTTTACTTTGGTCAAGATGTGAGATTCGTTTCTTCTGTTTGGAAGGTATCTAGGTGGGGAGTATAACTGTTGGACTCTGCCCTATTTTCTTACAGGCGTAAACTCCCATACTCTATGATCTATCGATAAACCGTAGATTTAACTAAAATAACAGCGTATTTTCAAAACTAAGCCATGATACTTATCATACTATTTAAACACTATTTAAACAATTTTTGTTTAGTGGAACTGGACTACGATTATATGCTCATGGGATCAGAAATTATGTTGAGCCCTGCTGTTATGGAAAGTGGTGGCGCGCAACCAGGCAACCAAGGCCTGATAGAACCAAAGAGAACTCGGCACAATTTTGCTGAAACGTTTCTCTGGGAGAGCCTAGACATTGGGTACTTGAACCTAATCTGCCCTCAGCCCCGCATGTGCCCTACCCTCGGGTTTTCTTATACACTGACCGTTTCATTTTTTCCTATCTGTTTTCGATGTCTTACTTGTTTTTTGGAAATCTCCTTTATTTTCCTAAGTCACGTTTATCTGAGCTTTACGGGATCAACCATAAATCATTTTACGCAGCTAGGATGGAATGGGAAGAGAGGACGAGGGAAGAGCTCAGGCGTTTGGGACATTAGAGATGTAACCTAATATATACGTATAATGATGGTATACAAAAGATGTAAAAAACCTGTTCGAATGTATGAGGGTATTTTCTTTACTAGAGGGAAGGGGATTGAAGTAGACTGGCGAAGGTTGTGTAAACTTCCGGTCTGCAGGAGCCCGCCAGAGTTAGGAGCAACTTTGTAGAGACCTGGCTATGGACGTCAGAAAAGATCGGGTACTCTACTGCCCTACACGAACATTTTCTTCATGTTATATATATATTTTTCCTTAGCGCAACTTTTTATCCCCCTACACAATTTTCTATTGCATACCTTGGGATAGGTCTTTCTCTTTTACTGTACCATAACAATGTATAATTAAAAAGGAAGTTCATGTGAAATTTTCACCTCATAAGTACAAATTAAGTTGACTATATATTATAACACAGAGAAGATGCTTGTAGTTTTACGAATACTTTAAAGCTATGAATCATTTTAGATTCTTAAATTGATTTCTAAAATGTAAAATACAAATTTAAAACTTAGAAATTGTTATTATAAACCGTCAGTAAAAAAACTAAATTTTAGCCGTTAGGTTATAATTGAAGTTAAAATACAAAATCTGGGAATGTTGACGATAGAACGAGTATGGAAAATATATGTTCCTATTTTGACATCAAATCTAGTGTTAAATGTTGTTATTATCAGACATCATTAATTATGCTCGTAATTCACGTACAGTCACAATTCTTTAAAATGTTGTATACCTGTAAAATTATTTTTAAAATCTGGGCTTCTTTTGATTGAATGTTTTTATATTGATATGAAAATCATAACCGTTAGTCAAAGTATGCCTGAGAATTTCAAATCTTGGCGAAAATGGAGGGATCATTTGATTCTACAAGAAAATCCCAGAAAATCCCCTTTGCAGGAATCCGCATTGCTGAAAGGATATAGGGACTACAAAGTTTGAAGCTTTGGACAAAATGCGGTCTTTCGATGAAAGTAACACCTAGATGGGAAGAATTGCGACAAAGCCCCATCTGTATAACTGCAATTATATGAAAATATTTACCCGTAATGTAATTTAATATCATCATTATTTATCCCCCCTCCCGCCCCGCCCCAGTCTACACGACCACCACACCGTATGATATCACCGACACAATGATGATGTTTCCCACCATGATGTACCCAACCACCATGAACTTCATGCCCGCCCAAACCACGCCCGCTCCGGACAACCAGGGCGGAGATTTGCCGGATCCTCCCCGGACCCGTGTCAACTTCGCTGAGACTTTCCTCTACGAGACCCTCGTGACAGGGTCCTTGCTTGCTATTTTAGTTTGGCCTCTCGTTTTGATAGATTTGGCTTTAATTATTCGGTGTATCCTTTTGCTGAATTTGGCTTTTTGGTCTCTCGTTTTGATAGATTTAGCTTTAATAATGTTGTATACAGCGTATCCTTTTGCTGAATTTGGCTTTTTGTCTCTCGTTTTGATATATTTGGCTTTGATTTTGTAGCATTCGGCATGTCCTTTTGTTGAATTCGGCTTTTTTTCTAGTCATGTTTCAATTATAATCTCTTTTAAAATACTATAATATTAATATTTTTCTATATCAAGGCTGTACCTCCCTACGCTACCAGCTATCTAACTTTGCTATCCTAGCAAATAACTCCAAATTCTCTTTACATCTTTTGAAATATGAATTGTATTCTATTATACAGCAAGGGGTGGCAGTTTGCTTTAATTTTACTTGGTTTTTCTAGCATGCCAACCATTTAAAAGCCATTAATCCTTAAACAAATATATATTTTTTCTATGACGGAGAAATTATTCGTTGTACACCATTATATCCTGGTGATAATTTATATCAACACCTTATTTCTAGAAATTGCATGTCGATCTAAATGTATTATATGTTACATACTATTATATTTCTGGGTGAGCCTTTACTCGCCATGTAATTTCGGAAGCTTGACCATATAGTTAGTAAAATTTTGAACAGTTGAATGACATTATCTCACAGTTTGTGTAGGCTTTATCATATTTTGTTTATTTTTTTTTGCCTAGTACGTACTGGAAACAGTCCTACAAATCGTTTTGCTTTAAATAGTTGAGAGCGTAGTATTTAGAAACACCTATCCCGTCTGAACGTATCTAGGCTCGATTCTGTAGAACGTCCCTGAGTTCACCCATCTCTGATGAATACCCGAGTCCCGTAAGAGAGAGTAAAAGTGGCAGTACATGGTGCTGACCACATTATCCATTTATTTGCCAGGGTTACAGAAACACCTGACCTGTACTTCATTTTTCCATTGCAGAGGCGTAGCGACTCCTCCCGGCGCCCGGGGACAAACTTTCAATTTGGCTCCCCCATATATTTTAATATTTATAATTCAAAACTGCGGCTTAAATGAGGTTTAATTTTCAACCTATTTTGGCGCCCGGGGACATATGTACCACCGCCCCCCCCCCTTCTTGTCGCTACGCCTCTGGTCCATTGAATCGCCAGGTCTGAAAGAGGGTAATTTTACTTTGGTCAAGATGTGAGATTCGTTTCTTCTGTTTGGAAGGTATCTAGGTGGGGAGTATAACTGTTGGACTCTGCCCTATTTTCTTACAGGCGTAAACTCCCATACTCTATGATCTATCGATAAACCGTAGATTTAACTAAAATAACAGCGTATTTTCAAAACTAAGCCATGATACTTATCATACTATTTAAACACTATTTAAACAATTTTTGTTTAGTGGAACTGGACTACGATTATATGCTCATGGGACCAGAAATTATGTTGAGCCATGCTGTTATGGAAAGTGATGGCGCGCAACCAGGCAACCAAGGCCTCATAGAACCAAAGAGAACTCGGCACAATTTTGCTGAAACGTTTCTCTGGGAGAGCCTAGACATTGGGTACTTGAACCTAGTCTGCCCTCAGCCCCGCATGTGCCCTACCCTCGGGTTTTCTTATACACTGACCGTTTCATTTTTTCCTATGTGTTTTCGATGTCTTACTTGTTTTGGAAATCTCCTTTATTTTCTTAAGTCAAGTTTATCTGAGCTTTACGGGATCAACCATAAATCATTTTACGCAGCTAGGATTGAAGGGAAGAGAGGACGAGGGAAGAGCTCAGGCGTTTGGGGCATTAGAGATGTAACCTAATATATACGTATAATGATGGTATACAAAAGATGTAAAAAACCTGTTCGAATGTATGAGGGTATTTTCTTTACTAGAGGGAAGGGGATTAAAGTAGACTGGCGAAGGTTGTTTAAAACAACATGAGGTCTATTATGGATGCCTCCTCAACTGTTAATAATTTCGACCTTGTTTCGTTTTTGTCATACTTCGTCGAATGCTGAGCATGCGATAAAAGACACACAGAAAGGAACTAATTTTGTTTAAAATTGTAGTTTACCTGCCCATGTTCGCCATGAGCGCAATGGGCGGCGGCGGCGGACTTGATGGAATTAGCTTAGGGCAGTTGACGCAGACGTCACCCGGCTCGATGAAGGAACCAGCCCGAGTCAGATCAAACTTTGTCGAGACCTTCCTGTGGAATGACGTCATTGTAGGGTACTGTCACTTTTTTTGAGAACCGTCGAGCTTTTGTTTATTGTAGTACATGGGCAAGCTGGGCTTCGGGAGCTTTGGCAGAGTTAATTCGGAAGAAGAAAAAGGGGGGGGGAATGATTGATCAGATACAAGTTTTGTGAAGGTTCATATGTATGGTGACCGTAAAGATTCGCAACAGAAAACTGCGCAACGGAAAACTGCGCAATGGAAATTGCTCATAAAAATAATGTGAATAAACGCATTTTTGTCTTCTTAAATAGAACTTTTTAATACATTAACAAAGAAGGACCACGTGTACATTGTAGAATAATAAACATATTTCCAGGAAATGTGACAAAAATAAAAAGTGTATAATTATTTTTATGTGCGTATTTTTGTGTTTGCGCAGTTTTCCGTTGCGCAGTTTTCAGTTTCCGCATCTTTCAGGGAAATCATATCTATTATGCTGTTTCTTTTGTGAGAATATATACTATCCATATACTTTTAAAAAAACTGTTATCCTTGTATATTTTGACTAGTTGAATATAATTATATCTCTAAATTACGATTATCTCACTGCAATGAAAGATACATACTTTGTTCTATTATTTTGGAAGAAAATTTATCGAGATGTCTAAAAGTGATACTGTTGTACTTAAACAGACTATAATGCTTTCATTACTATTGCTGGTATTCACAATATGGTGGAGCAGCTGGTATTAATAAAAAAAAAATCATTTTTCCACAGCCAAATAAACGTAACGCACTTAGTTTTGTGATAATTCATGCATGTTTCTGAAAATTCAATTAAAAAAATATAAGATCATCCTGATCAAAATGAAATTGTAAAAAATAATGTTTTTGACTTGAAGCGTAGACAAAGATTTTGAAAAAAAAATTCCGTTTAATGTTTCCCTCTCGTTTTTATTTTAAAAACTAATTTGTCTCTTCTGATTGTTTTTTAAATGCAACAAAAACTTCACACAGAGACAATGTTAAAATATTGATTAAGTGCTGTTGTCCATATTTAAATAGCCTTGACCTGATCCTCTGTTTTTATTTTAAGAAATAATACTATTTACCTTTACACTGATTAATATGTCTGTACAAAAAAAAAAAAAGAACCCAACCATAAGCTATTGACAGAAACAAATATAAAACAACGCACAGCTAAAGGTATTAATCAGTTCATTAAAAGATTAGTTTATACAGCTTAATGTGGAGGTCTGCTTTGATTTAAAAACTTGTTTGCATTTGAAAGAGATAAAATTGTATTTCTATACAGCAAAGAGAATAAAGATTAGATTGAAAAATAAAATAAATATATTATGGATCGATTATTATAGAAATAATAAGCGATAAATGTGAAAATTATTTCTTTTTGTAAATCTATAGCTAAAACGCTTATAAAACATCTATCTATGCGTTGGTGCTTGGTTTTTATTCTTACTAGATTTTTCCTCATACGACGCTTTATTTAAGACTGCATGCTTAAATATATTATTTAATCTGTACTGTAATTTTTAACTAGATTAACTTTATTTTGAATTTATGCTTAGTAAAATTAAAAGACTCAAAATGTTGAAATATTTAAAAAAAAATACATAATGACTAATGAAATTTATTTTCACAATTTTCAAGTTCTGATAAAGTACATATATTCTAAACCATTACGTGGTGATTGTTATAGTGTTAAAAATTAAATTTATTGTAAAGGTATTTTAACCACAAATTTAAAACAATGAACTTTTAATTAATTTTTAAAATTTCCTTATCGAAAATAAATGCTAATTTATAACAAACATATTTTAAAAACATTAAACGAATGTACAATAACAATAATGTTGAACATTTATTATTAACTTAGAATGTTATAAAATTTCATAACCAGCTATAAGAAAAGTAAAATAAATGAAGATCCTAATTTGTTTTAACTAATCCATCAATTTAGAGCAAACGGCTCAGCTTCCATCACAGCCACTGTACCAGACACCATTACGTCATGGGTGGTCAGCGCCTTCGCCATCAACTCAAACTCTGGTCTAGGCGTGGCCCCAACACAAGCTCACGTGAGTCTATAAATAAAATCAGTAAATCAGTATTGTTTTATAACTTAAACATCAGAATAAACGCCCACTTGCTGTTAAAAAGGAGGAAGCACAAAGAAGAGTCGTGTTTCATGCTAGGTCATGAACTTAAAGGAATGGCCAATGGAAAGAGAACTTCTAGTTCTTATGGCCCGTGTTTATTCACAAGTGGAAAACGTGGTCTTGAGTGAATATTCACGAACATTAATTGTTAAAAGTTGCGAGATCCTCGAATAAATTCAAATAATGCATTTCATAAGCTTGACATGTTTCCTTATTTTCTCTTGCAGCTGAAGGTCTTCCGACCATTCTTTGTCAGCCTCAACCTCCCCTACTCTGTGACTCGTGGTGAGCAGCTGGCACTTCAAGCAAACGTCTTCAACTACCTGCCAGACGATATGCAGGTGAGTAACGGCAATACACAATCCTCGGGGGATATGAAACCAAAAGTAATTTTCTTATGGAGGTTTCTTTACAGAGGGATTCTACGGCAGAAGTAGCGCTAGTTGATATCTTGTAGAAAAAAAAATAAACAAAAACAACAACTACAGCAACCTTAAATTCAAAACCAAAATCTAACAGTTAAGGAAGAGCGGCATTTAAGCGCTTAAAACTATAATTTTGTTTTGCTTTTGGTAAAAAAAAATAGTATTTACCTCGCCTTGTTCCTCTAGGTCCGCGTCACTTTGGCCAAGTCCAACAGTTTCTTCAACATTTTTGTCGACGCTAACGGCGCCCAGGATCTTAAACAAATAGACGCAGTACAAGATATCTTTGTAAGTTTTTTGGTATTTTAATTATTTTTCAATACAGAAGAATATAGTAAAACAACTTTTAAAATTTAATCTTTACAAAAGAATCTTACTGTGCACTAATTGTTTTGAAAATTCTGGAGAATTAAAGGCTGCTGTATTTTTAGGTCAAGGCTGGTGAGGCCAAGTCAGTGTATTTCCCCATCGTCCCTGCTGACCTTGGTAGAATTGACATTGAGGTCAAGGCCCAATCCACCAAGGCCGCTGACGCTGTGCGCAGACAACTCCTGGTTGAGGTAAGATGGGGTTAACGTTCTTGGTGCTGGGTTGTCTGATAATATGTTCTAATGTAAAGAGTTACACGATTTTATAATTTGACTGAAATTGATAAAAAATAAAAACTTAGATCTCTCTCAGAGTATGAGTCAGAACATCAGCACCACACCTAGTTCAGTCAGAAAGATATACATTTTTTTTACATGTTTACACAATTTTATCAAACTCTACTTTATTTGCCCTAAATCTTGCTTTAGTTATCCCATATTCTTTTCTATTGCCAAGTTAATATTACATCAAATCGTAACATTAAAATAAAATTACCAATTTCCTCATTATTGAACGCCACAGGCTGAAGGAGTCCCCAAACAATACAACGTTCCTGTCCTTATCGACCTGACCGAAGGCAAAACAACTTTCTCAAAGACCATTGACCTCACGCTGCCTGCAAACGTAGTCAAGGGATCTGAACTTGCTAGAATCTCAGCTGTTGGTAGGTAGTAGCAGACGAAAGAATAGCAGTAGGGGAAGTAGTTTAAAGTGCCATACCATGGTACGTAGATTTAGCAAGAGGCAAAGATACTGGTAAGGATGGGAATATCACTTGTCGTATTAAACGGAACCAAATCGATTAATTTGTTAATAACTATAATTTTTAACTATGAAGCGACTAGAGTAAAAAATCCTAAAGATAAAGTGCAGATAGTGGGATTTGCAGTTAAATACATACTTGGGAGAATTCATTCGTTTCTTAGAAAAATTCCACGTAAATAATCTTTCAGTTTGATAGACACTGTACAGAATTGTATGTGTTTCAGGTGACCTGATGGGCCCAACCATCGCTGGACTGGACTCCCTACTTCAGATGCCAACCGGATGTGGAGAACAAACCATGCTGGGTCTGGCACCGGATGTGTACGTCACAGATTACCTGGAGTCTGTCAATCAACTGAATGGAGACGTCAAGACCAAAGCCATCGGCTTCATGGAAAGTGGTACGTGGGGGAATAACAGACATTGGCATGTAAAGATTTCTAGATCAAGAGAAAAAACACACATATCCCAACATACATCTTTATTAATATTATAAATATTAATATTACAAAATGTATAGTAAAAATTATGTTTTGGCATTTCAGGCTATCAAAGAGAGCTGACATACAAACACTCAGATGGCTCGTTCAGTGCTTTTGGCAGCAGTGACAAGTCAGGATCCATGTGGTAGGTTTCTGAAAATCTTTCAAAAACCCCATTTTTTTTTTCACATTATTGAACTACATATTTATGATGAAACATTATTCTATTGCAATACATTTTGAATAAAGACAGTGGCAAATGTACCAAGAAAAATATCAACGGTTCATTGCATACGAACTGAATATGACATTAATAACATTCTTCAAACAACCAATGAAATTAAACTTTTTGGATTTAAATAGAGACGGAACTTAATCTTTACCTCTTAATAATCTGAGTCTGTCTGTCCCAATGTTCAGGCTGACGGCCTTCGTCGCCCGCGTGTTCCACCAAGCTAAGTCCCACATCTTCATCGACGACTCCGTCCTCGTCCAGGCCATCCAGTGGATAATCCATCAACAAAACGCTGACGGCAGCTTCCCCGAGCCTGGAGAAATTATCCACAAGAACATGCAGGTCAGCAGAAAATACTGTCTTGTATTTGAGAAAAGATGATGGCCATCGTAGAAATCGCTGTGCTTAATGGAAACAGTGCTTGAGATTGTTAAAAAAAATTATTAAACGATTCAGAGACGATAAAAAAAAAACAACAACAATTACTGTAAACTACTTAGCCTAAATATTTGTGCATGCTGTGAAGTAGTATATATAGTAAAAAATAGCTATTATGCCGAGACTGCAAATAAAAAATTAAAATAATTTTATTATTTCAAGTAATTTCTATAATTAAAATTAAACAATTTTCTTTTTTTTTACTATTACTATTCTAACGAATAGTAACAAGCTTAATTTTTTTTACCGTTTTAATTTAAAATATATCATCTAAAAAAATAATAATATAGAATTTTTCACCTCCCTCAAATTGTGTCGATTTTGCGGTTTTTCGAAGCGAAGATGCATCATAAACATTATAGTAAATAAAATTATAAAATATATCACTCAAATACTGAAACTATGCTGCGTATATAGCTAGGTAATAGCTAGGCACTTTTGCTTGCAGCAAATAGATTTACAGGTATCCGATTTGTTCATTTTATTTTTTCTGTCTTCAGGGACAAGCTGGGTCCGGGGTCGGATTGACCTTGTTTGTGTTGATCTCACTTTTAGAGAACCGTGATGTTCTGGAGAATACGGTAGGTCAAGGGTTAATTTCTTTATTGGTAAGTCAAGGGTTAGTATTTATTATAAATCATGACTACAGTTATATAGTATGACAAGGATTCACTTTTGCATGGTGGGTCAAGGGTAAAGTTTTATATGAGTATGTGGTAGAGTTAGCACTTGTATTTGTAAATAACATTTGTTTTGATCTATTTGGAACATTGAAGGTTAAAGTTAAAATAAGTAATTTATCCGAATTGTCAAAAAGATCAGTCTCTACAAAGTTTTGAAAAACAATTTAATATTTTTTATTTCCCAGAATGCCGCAGGAGTCTTGGCTGAACAAGCCAGACAAAAAGCCCTGGCCTACGCTGAACAGGAAGTTGCCAAAATGGATGATCTCTACGTTCTCGCCATGGCGTCTTACGCTTTCCAACTGGCCGGCAGCAACATGACCCAAGCTGTTCTAGATAAACTGGAGGCCAAGACCACTGCTCAAGGTAAAATTCTCTTCTCTGAAATTCATATCAGGTCTTCAATGTCGCCTTTTTAAAGTTTTCAAAATAGTAAGCTAGACCCAATCTACTGTTACAAAGAGTTTAATTCAGCAGAAAGCCCACACGAAACAGATACCCCAAACGTCCAAATTACTCCTCACATAGGCCCTAATTTGAGCATTTGCTGCAACAGTCCTCCACCCTCCATCCCACTGTTCAACTCCCTCTCTCACATCCAATATGATACAATAATTGTTATTACATTTTCACATTCCTTCTACATTAAGAACTTATTTGTGTTTTTTAAAGAAAACCAAGACGGCGTTTCCATATTTAAATTCACTAAATAAAATATAGTTATTTTATAAGCTAAGACGTACCCTTATTTTCATTCTATAAACAGACGGCATGAAGTACTGGCACCAGCCGGAGCCACCAAAGACCTCTACCAACACTTGGGTTAGCCCAAACCCCACCAAGGCCATTGACATTGAGATGACCGCCTACGTCTTGCTGACCTACACAAAGCGCGGCAACTTGGTTGCAGGCAAGAGCATCATGCAGTGGATCACCAAACAGAGAAACGCCAACGGTGGCTTCACGTCCACACAGGTTTGAGAATTTTATTTCCACATCACTTCAATAAAAGCTCAATATGATTACAGGGGGACATTTTTAAACTTAAAAACAAAAATTGCTGTAAAGATTGTTTTAGCTAAAATATATTTTAAACTAAAATAATACACTGCTGTAAATATTGTTTATTTAAAATATAATTTAAAATGAAATAAATGCTGTAAATATTGTTTTAGTTAAAATTTAATTTAAACTTAAAAATATAGCTGTAAATATTGTTTTAAATATAATTGAAACTGAAAGAAACAACATTGCTGTAAATATAGTTTTAGCTAAAATATCATTTAAACTGAAAAAAACATTGCTGTTAATATTGTTTTAGCTAAAATATAATTTAAACTAAAAAAATACATTGCTGTGAATATTATTTTAATTAAAATATAATTTAAACTGAAAGAAAAAAAACATTGCCATAATTATAGTTTTAGCTAAAATAAAATTTAAACTGAAAAAAACAACATTGCTGTAAATATTGTTTTAGCTAAAATATCATGTAAACTTAAAAAACATTAATGTAAATTTTGTTTTAGCTAAAATATAATTTAAACTAAAAAATACATTGCTGTAAATATTTTTTTAAATTAAAATATAATTTAAACTAAAAAATACATTACTGTAAATATTGTTTTAATTAAAATATAATTTAAACTAAAAAAAGAACATTGCAGTTAATATTGTTTTCGCTTAAATATATTTTAAACTAAAAAATACATTACTGTAAATATTGTTTATTTAAAATATAATTGAAACTGAAAAAAACAGTGCTGTAAATATTGTTTTAATTAAAATATAATTTAAACTGAAAGAACAAACATTGCTGTAATTATAGTTTAGCTGAAATAAAATTTAAACTGACAAAAAAAAACTTTGCTGTAAATATTGTTTTAGAAAAAATATTATTTAAACTGAAAAAAAAACATTGCTGTAAATATTGTTTTATCTAAAATATAATTTAAACTAAAGTACATTGCTGTTTAAATTTTTTATTAAAATATAATTTAAACTAAAAAAAGAATTGCTGTAAATATTGTTTTAGCTAAAATATAATTTAAGCTAAAAATACATTGCTGTAAATATTGTTTTAATTAAAATATTATTTAAAGTGAAAGAAAAAACATTGCTGTAAATATAGTTTTAGCTAAAATACAATTTAAACTAAAATAAACATTGCTGTAAATATTGTTTTAGCTAAAATATAATTTAAACTAAAACAAACATTGCTGTAAATTCTGTTTATTTAAAATTTAATTTAAACTGAAAAAAACATTGCTGTAAATATTGTTTTAATTAAAATATAATTTAAACTGAAAGAACAAACATTGCTGTAAATATAGTTTTAGCAAAAATACAATTTAAACTAAAATAAACATTGCTGTAAATATTGATTTAGCTAAAATATAATTTAAACTAAAACAAACATTGCTGTAAATTCTGTTTATTTAAAATTTAATTTAAACTGAAGAAAACATTGCTGTAAATATTGTTTTAATTAAAATATAATTTAAACTGAAAGAACAAACATTGCTGTAATTATAGTTTAGCTAAAATAAAATTTAAATTGACGAAAAAAAACTTTGCTGTAAATATTGTTTTGGAAAAAATATTATTTAAACTGAAAAAAAAAAAACATTGCTGTTAATATTGTTTTAGCTAAAATATAATTTAAACTAAAAAAAAAACATTGCTGTAAATATTGTTTTAAATAAATATCATTTAAACTGAAAAAAAAAACATTAATGTAAATATTGTTTTAGCTAAAATATAATTTAAACTAGAAAAATACATTGCTGTGAATATTTTTTAATTAAAATATAATATAAACTAAAAATACATTACTGTAAATATTGTTTTAATTAAAATATAATTTAAACTAAAAAAAGAACAGTGCAGTTAATATTGTTTTCGCTTAAATATATTTTAAACTAAAAAATACATTGCTGTAAATATTGTTTATTTAAAATTTAATTTAAACTGAAAAAACCATTGCTGTAAATATTGTTCTAATTAAAATATAATTTAAACTGAAAGAACAAACATTGCTGTAATTATAGTTTAGCTAAAATAAAATTTAAACTGACAAAAAAAAACTTTGCTGTATATATTGTTTTGGAAAAAATATTATTTAAACTGAAAAAAAAACATTGCTGTAAATATTGTTTTAGTTAAAATATAATTTAAACTAAAGTACATTGCTGTAAATATTTTTTTTTATTAAAATATAATTTAAACTAAAAAAACATTGCTGTAAATATTGTTTTAGCTAAAATATAATTTAAACTAAAAAATACATTGCTGTAAATATTGTTTTAATTAAAATATAATTTAAGGTGAAAGAAAAAACATTGCTGTAAATATAGCTTTAGCTAAAATACAATTTGAACTAAAATAAACATTGCTGTAAATATTGATTTAGCTAAAATATAATTTAAACTAAAACAAACATTGCTGTAAATATTGTTTTAGCTAAAATATCATTTAAACTGTAAAAAAAAACATTAATGTAAATATTGTTTTAGCTAAAATATAATTTAAGCTAAAAAAATACATTGCTGTAAATATTGTTTTAATTAAAATATAATTTAAACTAAAAAATACATTACTGTAAATATTGTTTTAATTAAAATATAATTTAATCTAAAAAAAAGAACATTGCAGTTAAGATTGTTTTCGCTTAAATATATTTTAAACTGAAAAAAACATTACTGTAAATATTTTTTTTTATTTAAATATAATTTAAACTGAAAGAACAAACATTGCTGTAATTATAGTTTAGCTAAAATAAAATTTAAACTGACAAAAAAAAAACTTTGCTGTAAATATTGTTTTAGAAAAAATATTATTTAAACTGAAAAAAAAACATTGCTGTAAATATAGTTTTAGCTAAAATATAATTTAAACTAAAGTACATTGCTGTAAATATTTTTTTATTAAAATATAATTTAAACTAAAAAACATTGCTGTAAATATTGTTTAGCTAAAATATAATTTAAACTAAAAAAATACTTTGCTGTAAATATTGTTTTAATTAAAATATAATTTAAAGTGAAAGAAAAAACATTGCTGTAAATATAGTATTAGCTAAAATACAATTTAAACTAAAATAAACATTGCTGTAAATATTGTTTTAGCTTAAATACAATTTAAACTAAAAAAAAACATTGCTGTAAATATTGTTTTAGCTAAAATATCATTTAAACTGAAATTTTTAAAAAAATTTAAAACTGACAAAAATGTCAATTTTCTTTTAATTTAATTATTTTCTCCATGCTTTGTGAAACATCTCGATGTCATAACAAACCAAAACAGAAGAGTTAGATAATTCAGCAGCTCAATGTCTTCCACCCATGTTCTTTGCATTTATCACTCATAGCATTCAACCAAAAAGATTTTTAAACAAGCGTCTATGTACTAGTATAAGTCATGATTTCCAAAAAAAAACAACAAAAAAAAAAACAATTCAACTCTGTGTTGAACAATAAATTTACTGTGGCCAAATTCTCACGAGTAAAACTTCGACCCGACTATGTTTATCATCAATAACGTACCGCACCAATCAAAACGCAAACAAGCTCGAGCCGTATTTATTCTTGTGCCCTTTGACGTTCGCCAAACTCTGGTTCCCGAAAGGTTGGGGCCGATGGTTTTAAACTAAAGTTTACTTTCTACCCACAGGACACCGTGCTCGCTCTGAACGCCCTCAGCGAGTTCGCCAAGCAGACGTACAGCAACAACTTCAACGTCCACATCACCACCCAGCTGGACCCAACAACGACCTTCACCTTTGACATTGACAAGACCAACTCACTTCTGCTGCAGTCAAGAGAGGTAAAACTATAATTTCAATACAATAAATATTAAGTGTTTAGGCCTACTCGCTTCAAGTTTCAACCTGTTGTACTAAATCTTTGGTTTCATTTTAGAGCTCAAAAGCAAATCAAAATGAAAGGGATTTATATAATTTAATGAGAAAAATAATATTTTACAATTTTAGAATATTTAAACTTCAGAATCATCATACGTACGTAAAAATATAATGATTTCGTTCTTTTACAATGCTTATGATAAAAAAGTAATTTTTATAAAAAATGTTATATTTCAAGTTGAACACAATTTTTCTGAAGACAAAATGTCTTTTATTTTCAGACGACAACAGTCCCTGCCCAGGTTAAAGTTGATGCCAGCGGTTCAGGCATGGCCTTAGTTCAGGTAACCATCTAACAAATGTTTTCAAACTAAAGACACGTTAAAGATAATTGAAGGCTATCACAGTGAAGTGTTAAGCAAAAGAAAATCTATATTATAAATGCTGACACATATAATGTATATAGTTTTTATAGAAACCATTTAGAGCCTTAACGAACTTTCATTTAAAGATCAACTCATCTTATGGAATATTGCAATAATAAAGAACACTCATCGCATTTGAATAATAATTAAAAAAAAAATAAAGCTAAATTTGGATTATATTCATACACCACAGGCTGCTGTGTTTTTCAACGTTGAGCAAGAGATTGAGCCAACGACCTTTGACCTCACAGTGAAACTTATTGAGGAGACCATCAACAATTTGTTTGTGGAAACTTGTGCCAGGTACGTTTATTTATTTTGGTTACCTCATCTCTTATATTGTAATTTCTAAACATGCGACATCCAGATTTGATATAGTCAGGAAAAAGCTTAAAATTTATATTTATACATTTCTCTATGTCGTATAACCATGCAAGACACCACGCATGCACGCCGACTCTCTACCCTCCTCCCACCACCTCCCTCACTTTATAGGCGCGCTCAACAGTGTGTACCCACCCACTCCATTTGGACAACTGCGTCTTTCAGGAAGTCTTTACCCGTCACTAAATTGCGGAGTATGCTGCGCCGCGGGTCGTCTCGTAGCATATTATTAGGTTAAAAGTCAAACTTTGACGGAAACTTATTTTGTTCTTTTAATACGTATATCTCACTTCTGTGTTATCAAAACTGTTTTTAAAATTAAACGCCAGATGGCTCGGCGAGGGCCCCAGCAGTGCCATGGCCGTCCAAGAGTTTGGTATCCCATCAGGCTTTGAGGCTGACCTTGAAAGCATCACCCAGCTGGACATCCTGAAGAGAGTCGAGACGCAAAACAAGAAAGTTATTCTCTACTTCGACAATGTGAGATTAGGAGCTTTTGTTATAGTCACCATGTAGATAGTCAATTTAACCTCTCATAATATAGAGACGCTAGAGAACTAAAATACATTTTACATAGCCCATATCTGGTTAAATCTTTATTAAATATTCTTTAAGAACCGATTTCTCCACACTTTTAATGACATTTTGCAAAAGACTACATTATTTCTTGAGGTAATCTGTTAGGCATCTATTGATAATCAATTTTGACATTTGTAGGGTTATTTGTTATGGCAAATGCAGATTCACAGTTGCTAGGAATTACAACAGTAGACTAACTGTTATTGTCAATGACACTGTAGATTAACTGTTTCTGTCAATGACACATGTAGACTAACTGCTACTGATAATGACACCTGAAAATTAAATTTTCCTGTCAATGACACTTGTAGACTAATTGTTTTTGTCAATGACACCTAATCGTGTCTTGTTGAACTTCACAGATTGGCACAACTCCAGTTTGCTTAAACATCCGAGTTGTCAGAACTGGTTTGGTGGCCAAGTCCCAGCCAGCTGCCGTCAGGGTCTACGATTACTATGAGCCAGGTCAGTCATATGGTTCAGTTGGCTTCACCAAAATTTACCCCTGTTTTTTTTCGTGTAATTTTCTTTTTATTCGTTGAATAACGAAATAAAAAACTACCAAAAGTAATTTTCAATTATGTTGACATTAGTTTAAAAAAATTAATAGTTTGTTTTTGTTTTTAATTAATATTTAAAAATTCAAATGCATATGTGAAATTTCTTTTTTTAAAGTAAATCATTAAAATATTTTTTATTGAGTACATAATAAAATCGTTTTTTTTTAAAATTTAAATATTATTTTTCTACAGATATGTTTGTAATGAAAATTTGTTTCATTGAAATAAAAAAAGTTGTTTTTTTTACATTTATGTTTCAAGTTAAAATATGGTAATATAAAAATAAGAGTTTTTGTGTTTTTAAAAAAAAGTATTTATATGAAATTCTTTTGTTTGACACAGGTAACCAGGTGACCGCCTTCTACCAATCCCAACTTCTGAAGGATTCCTCCGTCTGTGACGTCTGCACAGAGTGCGAAAACTGTGTTTAGGTCAAGAAAACTGTTCAGGTATAATATTTGTTTTACGCATACGTACATCTAATATTATAATGTTACTAGACTACCCGATATCTAGTTAGATAACTGTGGGTTTCTGGGGGTCATCTATAAATGACATCACGTCCGTCACTAATCATAAAAAAAATAACCAGACCCCAAATTCAAAAAGGCGTCACACATCAGACGTTTTTGTCTTTTAAAAACACTGACTTCGTCTGAGCATGTGTCTGACAACATAATCTTTGTTATAGTTAAAGTTATAGCCGACAGAAAATTAGTTTAAGAACGCGTTAAACATCTGAATCGGCAACTAAATCTTGGATTGAAGTCGCCATTTATTGTACTAAAAAGTAAACAATTCATGTGACGTCACTATTCCCACAAAGTTAAGTCAATGTTTTAAACTTTTAAAATTAATGTGGTTAATCTACCTATGAATAAATCAATAAATTAATTAACGTCTTTAAATAAATTTGTGATTAACAGTCTGTCTGAAAAAAAATGTTCTCTACCTACATACTATTTTACAGCTCTCCACATAGCGCCGATCCTCTACAGTAGTTAATCAGACAAACAAAAAAAAAAAAAAAACCAAAAAAAATATATTCAAACATGGAAACAAACTTGAGTTTTAGTAGTATAGAGATAGATAGATAGATAGATAGATAGATAGATAGATAGATAGATATACTATTTTTTTTCTCCCAAAGTCCAGATTATTTCGTAAATGCTTTTTTTTTTCAACAAAAATAAAATATTTAAAAATATAACTTCTGTTTTTGACGAAACGTAAATTAAATATACAATATACTTTGAATAGCAGAGTGTAAACTAACAGTTGTAATCTTTATTCAAAATTTACGAGGGAACTTAATCAATAAAGAAAATTTGAGCTTAAATATTGTTACAAGTTTTCTAGTATTCTAACAAAGTATGTAGTATTGTGATGTTTGTGTGTGCAAGTATTGTTTAAAAACTTTTTTTAGCATCTGTGAAAATTTCAATATCGTTAATATGTAAGCAATGTTTATGTTTATTTTCAGATACCAAAGACGGTTTAAAGTTACAACTTTTGTAAAGAAATCCTTCAATCATTAGCTGCTATAGTTTTCTTTATTTAAAATCACATGCAACCTTAGGTAATTCCGTATTGTCAGCTTATTTACATTTTTGTAAAAATTGTAAGGTTTTTGTTTAGATAGTTTAGATTATGTCGCTTGTAGTATTTTAGTTAGTGAGCTATTTTTAGATTCAAGCGCAATAACTATAAGAATCGCTTATTTTATTGGTTTTTGAAGTTGTATAAATTTTTGTAGTCAAAAATATATTAAAATATATTTTGTTCATGAATGTGATATCAAGTCCAATAAAATGTATTTAACTTACAATGTGTGCATTGTTAAAATACTTTTGCAAAAACAAAATACATCATAGTTTTTGTACAATCTCTTTAAATATTCATAACTTAAATACTACATAAATATTAACGTATTTCAAGGGCTTCACAAATTTAAAACCCTCATCAGTTACGACTTATTAAAAGGTTTTAGAATTTGTTTAAGCTCTGAGTTAATTGGTCATTCAGTCAATTTAGCACATTCCCGTCCAGATTACACATCTATTTTCCCAATCATAACTCATTTGCTGGATATGGGTCTCGGCTGCACACCACAAAGCAATATCCTTTTACGCCCACCCTACCCATTTACAGGCATTTTACCCCAAAAAAAATTCCTCTTCATAGACTCAAACTTCCATACAGTCTATTTTGGGACATCTATTTATAACGTCAATGCAGAAAGTGCGGAGGGGTCAGAAGGAAGTCGACGGAGTGGCCTAGCAGTAGAGACCTGACTGCTAACCCGTAAGTCTCGAGTTCGAATCCGGGTTCAAGTCAATAGAACGTCCCTGATTCCACCCATCATAATGCTGATTACACTATCCCTTCATATACTTTACTACACCACAGACCAGGGGCTCCCAACCTTTTTTTTTACTCTAGAGCACATTCTAAAATATCGGCAAAATCGACAAACTCCTTTCAGAGGCGTCGCGACCCTTTCCTTCACCCGGGGACAAAACTTTCGATTTGCACCCCCCCTCAAACTTTCGATTTGCACCCGCCTCAAATTTTCGATTAGCACACCCCCCTCAAACTTTCGGTTTACACCCCTCCTCCTCAAACTTTCGATTTACACCCCTCCTCCTCAAACTTTCGATTTCCATCCCCTTCAACATTTCAATAATGTTTATGAAAACAATTCTGTCTCTGTCGAATAGTGAGAGGCGGGCACATACGAATCGTTCGGCGGGCGCCATGGCGCCCGCGGGCACGGGGTTGGGAACCCCTGCCATAGACCATGCTCAGTTATAATGAATAGTATAATCTACACAAAGCAAAGATAGACACAAGCAGCCAGGCGCGACGTACGTACGACGTGTTGCGATCAGGCAAGCACGATGAACACGCACCAATGACCAAACAGCGGCGTCTCAGAACAATAACCGCCAGGGGTCGTCACTACATGCCGACAGCTCAAAGCTGCGATAAATAAGATAGGATTGAACGGAAGAAGGTGTTTACATATTTTAGCGACCAAAGCTTTTTGAAAAAAAGGAAATTATTTTTATTTTCGTGCATTTAAAAAAATAAATATATTAGAGTAGTTTTCTTTGTATTTGTTGTATTTTTGACTTTTTAGTAATTCATAATTCACGAAGGCGATACTATAAAGGCAATGACTAAAAATATTTGCTTTAAAACACCATTAGAAGCTCTCGATCTCTGGAACACGATTACTTGCCCTTTTGTCGTTCTAAGGCTTAAAAGCAACCGTCCGTCGCCACAGTTTACATACGACATCAAGCGATCGCTAGTTCTTAATCTTGTAACCTCCACTTAGTTTAGAAATTGTTTAAAAACTCTACAATATGCCCCTAATAGCCTTTACTATGGGTCAAAATTGAGTCAAAATATGTGCCACGTATCCACAAACAAAGAAATGGACGTTATGAACAAAGTGAAAGCTTTTAAAAAGAAAATAATATAGACATTTTCAAAAATGATAAATTTTACACAATAAGAATTTGGACATTTGAAATGTTACACGTGTATTTTTACTCCTCCAACATGTCGAAGACACGAGCGTAAAATAGAATACAGAAATCGAAAAGTTTGAACAACATCAGCCAACACCACAACACCAAAGACCAGACACAGACACGAGATACAGATGACCTGGCCGAGAGTTTGAGAACTTGGGCTCGTGTTGTCCATGGAGTTTTTTCTTTGTAAAGTCGCTGTCAGATTGGGCTTTGGGACGTTGAGGCGTTCTTTTATTTGTACTGTGAGGGTTTCTTTAGTTTGTACATTCAGTGTAACATTGGGCGTTGTCTGTTTATTCGTACATGTACAACGACACTGTTTTATTTCTGCGTTGACGGCAGAAAAAAGCTTTGTGTCTTCTGCCGGCAGATGAGTTTCTGAAGATGGTGTTTGTGTTGTTGTTGTTTGTCGTACATCATTTGGCGTTGTCATTTTAGTTGATTCAAGTTGAATAAAAGGCGTGGTCATCACCTGGCTAAAAGGGGTAGGCGTAGTTATCAACTGGCTGACAGATGTAGGCGTGCTCATCAACTGGCTGACAGAAGTGGGCGTGGTCATCAACTGGGTGACATATGTAGGCGTGGTCATCAACTGGCTGACAGGAGTAGACGTGTTCATAAACTGGCTGACAGGAATAGGCGTAATCATCAACTGGCTGGCAGATGTAGACGTGGTCATGAACTGATTGATAGTAGTAGGCGTGGTTATCAACTGAATGACAGGTGTAACCATGATAGTCGTCATAAGATCAGTGTCAGCCAAAGCCGGGGTCGTCACTTGATTGAAAGAGTCAGCGACAGTTGTTGCAGAAGTAGGCGTGGCCTCCGTCTGTATGACAGGCAAAGTCGTGCTCATTAACTGAATGGCTGGAGTATCAGTGGCCATTACTTGGTTGTCAAGGGAAGGCGCAGACATCAGCTGCTGGACTGAAGTAGGCGTGGTGATCTGATGATCATAGACAGGCGTGGCTGTCGTCTCAACTAAAGTTGTTGTTGTGGTAATTAACGGGCCTATAGCTGGTGTCACACTATACGTAGATAACTCGTTACTTAAATACTCTTTAGAACTGTAGATAAGGGAATCTAAGGAAGATAATAAGTTACTGAATGGGACATTTGTAAGATTCATACTGTCTTGACTTGTAGATGTTTCTGATGATGGTGCAGTAGTAAAGAATGACTTCTGGCCATTTATAAAAGATACATCAGTGATTGTTGACAAAACATCATTCACCGAAGATGCTGCAGTATATGTTAATTTATCGTTATTTACAAAAGAAGCAGTTGTGAATAATAGCCCAAGTTCATTTAGTGAAGATGTTGATGTAAAGATTGTTTGTTCAGTATTTTCTAAATATGTTTCAGTAAAACCGGAATTTTCTGGCCTGCGTGATAAATCGGTAGTATATAAAGTTTCAAGTTTATTTTCAAATAGGGCTCCAGTAATTGTTGACTCATCATTATTCATAAAAGTAGCTGCATTGAATGCTAACGTCTCACTATTTACAGGCGAAGAAGCTGTAATTAATGTCAATATTTCATTTACCAAAGTTGGCGATGTAAAGGTTATTTTATCAACATTTAGTGAGGTTGAAATAAATATTGATCCCACATCATGGAGCGATTGTCCTTCAGGAGATGATATATCAAACTCATTATCTGAAGATATCATACTCATTGTTGACAAAACTTCATGTAAAAAAGTAGGTGTCGTAAATGTTGCCTGATCGACAACTACTGTAGTTGGTGATCCAAATGTGTTTAGCAAAGATTGTTCAGTTGATATTGTCCTATTTTCATTTTCCAAGACCGGAATAGTAATAGGTGGCTCCACATCATTTACAGAATGTGATGCTAGAGTTGTAGAAAGAACAATATTTACTGTTGTAAATGTTGACTCAATGCTGTATTCCGAATTGGGTTTATAAAATATCGACCTAACTTCAGATGACATAGACGATTCAGTAAATGTTGATGTTACTTCAGTTACCAATTTTGATGAAGCAAATTCGGACACATCTTCACGTTCTGAGGATTTTTCTGGAAAGTTTGACAGAACATCGTTTACCGTCGATGTTGAAGTAAAATTTGGTCCAACGTCATATACCGAAGACCCTTTGTAAAATGTTGAACCAGCTTCAGTTGAATAAAGTACTCCAGTAATTGTTGGGAGTAATTTATCTTCCTGACTGAGTGCTGACAACGTTGACGCATTGTCATTTACATCAAATCCTAATGTAAATAATGACACAGCTTCATTTTCCAATGTTGCTACAGTAAAAACTGAACTAAATTCATTCACCGAAGTTACTGTTGTAATAGAAGATACAACTTCATTACTTGATTCAGTTACACTGGGTGTTAAAAAACTTTCTTGTGATTGAAAGTCCGCAGTAGTTGTCGCCCTGTTTTTATTTACAGTAAACGATGAAGTAAAAGTAAATGTAACTTCGTGTACCAACGATGTCGATGTTAAGATTGTTTCAGCGATATTTAATGCAGATGCTGCAATAACAGTTGACGGATTCTTATGAAAAAACGTTACGGATATATTCAATGTTTCAAACTCATTCACTTCAGATGGCACAGTCATAGATGATCTTATTTCATTAATAGAAATAGCTTCAGTAAAGGTTGTTGACTGATCGTCAATTATGGAGGAGGCTGCACTTATTGTTAACCCAAACTGATTTACTAAAGAAGGTGACGTTATTGTTGTCTCATTTTTATTTTCTATGAAAGATTCAGTAAAAGATGTCGCCATGTCATTGACAAAAGTTGATTCTGTAATTGTCGGAAGAACGACATTTACTGAAGGTGTCTCAGTAAAAATTGATCCGCTTTCAGTTGATAAAGTGGTGGTTGTAAATGTTGACTCTAAACCTTTTGTCGATGAGGTAGCTTTGACTCTTGACGCTTCTTCCTTTACGTTAGATGATTCGTTAAATAATGATTCGGATACATTTTCTAAAGCTGATACATTAATCGTCGTCGGTAAACTGTTAAAAGAAGTGGCTTCAACAATTTCATTTACCAAATTGGATGAGGTAAATGTTGACACAATCACAGTCGAAGCTGCAGTTAATGTTGATCCATTTCTATTTTCCGAAGAGAGAGCTGCTAATGAAGTCACGTCATTTAAAGAAGATTCAAGCATAGACTTATCAGCGGTAATTAATGATTCAGCATAGTTCACTGATGATAAGGTAATTAATGATTTAACATCGTTCAATGATGATGAGATAATTAATGATTCAACTTCATTCACTGATGATGAGGTAATTAATGATTCAACCTTGTTCACTGAAGATGAAGTAAGTAATGTTTCAACCTCGTTTACTGATGATTCTGTAATTAATGATTTAACCTCGCTCACTGTAGATACTTTAGTAACGTTTGTCCAAACGGCATCGACCGAATCAGCTGCAGTTAGTTGTGATTGATCGTCAGTTACAGTAGATATCGCAGTAAATATTGACCAATTGTTATTTTCATAGATTACTGTTGTAAAACTTGTCACAATATCATTTATGAAAGGTTGTTCTGAATTTGTTGAATGGAAATTATTTACTGAAGGTGTAGAAAATGCTAACTCAGCATCTTTTAACATATATGCTTCGACAGCATTTGGCCCAACTTCATTGACTGCAGTAAAAGTTGATGCGATTTCAACATCCAAATATGATGGAGGAAATGTTGACACGATTTGAATATTCGGAGATGAGACCGTAATTCTCGACTGATTGCTATTTTCTGAAGAAATTTCAGTAAATGTTTTTCCGTCTTCATTTACAGACGTATGAGCTGTAAATGTTGACTCGGCGTTATCTACAAAAGCAGCTTTTGTAAACATCTGCCCAGACGCTTCAGTAAATGTCGACCCAAAATTATTAATTGAGGATGATATATCCGGCGTTGTTGTGTTGGATGTAAAATGTTTTGACTGATTATCGTTTTCCGAAAAAGTTTTATAAAATGATGAGTCAAATTCATTTCTCGATGAAACAGCTGTAACTGTTGACGCCACGTCGATTATATAAGATGCTGTTGTAAATAGTGACTCTTTATTTTCTGGAGCTGTTACATCACTTCTCGACATAAAATTGTTAGTTAAAGATGATGCAGAAAAGGTTGACAACATTTCATCAGGTGAAGATGCTACTGTATAGTTAGACCGAACATAATTTACAGCAGATAGTTCAACAAATCTTGAATCGACGTTATATACTGTGGATGCTTCTTTTACAGAAGATACCGATATAAATAGTAGCCCATATTCATTTTCTGAAGAAGCTGAAATAAAAGTCGTCCCAAAATTATTAACAGAAAATGCTTCAGTCAAAGCTGACCCAACGTTACTATCCAAAGAGGGTGATTTTGATGTTGTAGCAATTTCGTTTAGAACAGATACTGCAGGAAATGTCGATCCTTCTCTATTTACAGAAGACGATGAGGTCAAAGTTGAAGACACTTTATTAAAATAGGAATGCGATGTTAAGGATGACCAAACATCATCAATTAAAGATCTGTTTATAAATGTCGTTTCGTTATTATTTAGTAAAGCTGCTGCGGTGATTGTTATGTCAATAGTATTTAACAAAGATGTTTCAATAAATGTTGAACCAGCTTCATTCAGGAGAGTAGCTGCAGTAGATGTCGCCAGTTGATTATTTACAGAAGAAGGAATTGTAAATAATAACTGACCTTCATTTAAAGAAGACGTTGATGTAAAATTTAATTTATCGTTACTTTCTGATGATGCTGTAGTAGGAGTTATGTCATCTTTATAGATCGAGGATTGGGCAATGACTAATGCTTCAACTTCGTTCACTATAGAGGCTGCAGTGATTGTCGCCCAAACAGAATTAACCGGACTACCTGCAGTAAATTTTGACTGATCGTCAACTACAGAAGTTAACACAGTAAATATTGACTCATTGTTATTTCCCAAAACTGCTGTCGTAAAAATTGTCTCAAAATCTTTTATTGAAGACAGTTGTGAGAATGTTGAATGAAGATTATTTACTGAAAGTGGTGTAGTAAACGTTGACCCAAAGTTTACCATATTTTCTCCATCAAAGTGTGACCCATCTACCTTAACTAATGATACTGCATTAGACGAGACTTCATTTTCTAAATATGCTGTAGGAAAAAGTGACACAATTTCAAGTTTTGGAGGTGGTTCAGTTAAAGTTAACTGATTGTTACTTACAACAGATGCTTCAGTAAAGGTTGACCCAACTTCATTTTCCAGTGTGTATGGTGCAAATGTTGGGTTTACATAGGATTCCGCTGTAAATAACCCAAATTCAACATCCGAAGATGTATTAATTTCTTTTACAGATGATATTGCTGTAAATGTTGACCTATCATTTAAAGTAGAAGGTGGAGTAAAAATAGATGCAACTTCTTTATTTATAACAGATGGTGATGATGCAATCGACTGTAATTCGTCGACTGAAGAGTTGACTATAAATGTTTCGTTGCCACTTTGTAAAGATGAAGCTGTAGTTGAGCCAGCGCCTTGCACCGACAAACTGTCCATAAACAATCCTTCTATCCCACTCACTATAGACACCTCGGAGATTGTTGTCTTAACCCCATAGACCGAACTAGCTGCAGTGAAATTTAAGTGATCGCCAAGTACAGAGGATGCAGAAGTTAGTAGTGTCCCAGGTGAGTTTAGATAAAACAACTCAGTTGATTTTATCCCATTTGTATTTTCCGAGCCTGCTATATTAAAAGAAGTTGCCACATGATTTACAGAACTTGTTTCTATAGCTGCCGAAATATTAATATTTACTGACGATGCTGCAGTAAAAGTTGAACCAATGTCATGTTCAAGATTCGTTTGATAAAAATTTGACCCAAAATCGTTCCTTGATGAAACTACTTCCTCTGTTGACGAATCGTCATTTACATAAGAGGCTGTTGTAAGTAATGACCATGGTATATTTTCTGAAGCTACTACATTCACGTTCTTCCCAATTGTGTTGTTAAAACGAGATGCTTCAGCAAAAGTAGACGTATTTTCATTTTCTAAAGTTGATGAAGTAAAAGCTGACACAATTTCTTCCCCTGAAAATACAACAGTAAGTTTTAATGGATCTTCAGTTCTCGTTGATGTTGAAGTAAGTATTGGCCCACCATCATACACTAGAGAAGCTTGATATAACAATGACCCAACACCTGTTGATGGTGTAGCAAATGTTGACTCAATTTCAGTTAAAGAATTCGATCGAGTAAACGTTGATACAAATTCAATTTCTGGCGAGAGTGATGTTAATTTTGACGCATCTACATTTACAAAAGATGCAGATATAAATAGTGAATCAGCTTCATTTGCTGCTAAAATTAAATGTGATCCAAACGTATTTACTGAAGCTGCTATAGCAACACTTAACACAACTGCCATCTCTGAAGATTCTACATTAGAGGTAGTAACAGTTTCTAGCCCAGGAAATTCTGCAGTAAATAGTGAATTATCTTTGTCTACAGTTGACGTGAAGGCAGCATCATTAGCAGAATACGTTGTTGTATACATAGTTTTATCACTGTTTTTCAAAGTTGGTTCGGTTGAGTCAACGTTATGAAAAAATGAATCAGCAGTAATTAAAGTCTGAAACTCTTTCACTGAAAATGTCGCAGTCATTGTTGACAAGGTTTCATTCAACGAAGTAGCCTCTGTAAAAGTTGACGGATCGTCAATCACAGAAGACGCTACCCGTATTGGTGATCCTAAAGAAGTTACCGAAGACGGTGAAGATAATATTGACTCATTTTTGTTTTCTAAGACAGCTGTAGTTAATGATGTCGCCACATCATTTACAGAATTTGATGCGATAGTCGTCGAAACAACGATATTTACTGAAGGAAAACTTGACTCATTGTCATGTTCTGAAACCACTTTATAAAATGTCGATCCAACTTCTGTTGATAATAATGTTCTAGTAAGAATTGAACCTAATTCCTTTTCAGAAGATAGTGATGATAATGTTGGTAAATCATCATTTACAAAAGATACACCCGTTGATAATAACCATGTTTCCATTTCTGAAGCTACTGCTGAAATCGTCGACCCAAAATAATTTTGCGAAGTAACAGATAAAACAATGCCATTATCCGATACTGCCGAATTGAATACCGCTTTATTTGCTGAAGAAACTGCAGTAAATGGTGAGTTATCTTCATTTATAGTAGAATATGAAGTAAAAGAGAATAGAGCATCATTTAATAAAGATGTAGGTGTTAAAGTGTTTTTATCCGTAATTAATGAAGAAGCAACAGATAGAGTTAAGAAAACGTCAAGAACCAATGCTTCAGGTTCATTTATTAAAGATGTTGACGTGAATGTTGTCCAAACTGCGTTGACAGAATTAGATGCAGTAATTGTTGACTGATCGGCAATATCTGAAGATGTCGCAGTAAATGATAAATCATTGTTGTTTTGAAACACTGTTGCCGTAAAACTTGTTGCAATATCATTTATCAAAGATGGTAGTGAAAGTGTTGAATCAAGATTATTCATTGAAAGTGTTGAATAAGAATTATTTATTGGAAGTGTTGAATAAAGATTGGTTATTGAAAGTGTTGAATGAAGATTATTTTCTGAATGTGTTGAATAGAGATTATTTTCTGAAAATGCTGAATGAAGATTATTTTCTGAAAGAGCTGAATTGAGATTATTTATTGAAAGTGTTGAATCCAGATTATTTATTGAAAGTGTTGAATCAAGATTATTTTCTGAAAGTGTTGAATGAGGATTATTTTCTGAATGTGTTGATTGAAGATTATTTATTGAAAGTGTTGCAGCGACTGATGATACTGCAACTTTATTTTCCGAAAATAATGTCGAAAATGTTGATTCCATTTTATGTATTAAAGATATTGACTGATCGTTACTTACATCAAATGACGAAGTAGAGGACGAAGCTATTTCATTTACTGACTGTAATGCTGATACAGCTTCATGTTTTGATGAAACAGTAAAGTTTAACAGATCGTCATTGACCGTCGATGTTAATGTAAATGTTGGTACAACAGTATATTCCGGAGACGCTGTATAGAATAAAGATCCAACATCAGTTGATAAATGTGGTGAAACAATTGTTGATCCTAATTCTTTTTCCGATGAGAGTGTTTTGAATACATTGGATGAAGTAACAAAGTCTTGAGCAGAAAGCTCTGCAGTATCTACATTTATACTAAGTGAAGGATAAGTGATTGAATCTTCTTTAACCGAGGATATTGATGTAAAGATTTTTGTATCAGCATCTACTGAAGATGGTGCAGTAATAATTACGCTAATGTTTTGGAAGAATGACTCTGCTGTTAATGGTTCAAACATATTCACTAAAGATGCTGCAGTCATTGTTTGCCAAACTTTATCTAAAGAAGTTACTGCTATAAATGATGAAATAGTCTCACGTTTGTTTTCCAAAAACTCTATAGTGAACGATGTCGCCACACCATTGACATAATTTGATGAAATAGGTTTCGAAAGAACATTATTTACTGAAGATGTTGCAGTAAGTTTTAATCCTATGTCACTTTCCAAAGATATTGTATACATGTTAGACAAGATTTCAGGTGTCAAATGTACATCTGCAAATGTTGACTCAAAGAAACTTTTCAATGAGACTTCTTCGAGTCTTGATGAGTAGTCATTTACAATAGACGCTGTGGTCAGTAGTGACCTAGCATTATTTTCTAAAGGTAATACATTAATTGTCGACAGAAAGTTGTTTACGGAAGATGTTGAAGTAAGCGTTGACGCATTTTCATTTACCAGATTTGTTGAAGTAAATACTGACACAATTTCATTTTCTGAGCGTGTACCTGTAAAGTTAGATTCAGTAGCTTCTGAAGATACTGAAGTTAAAGCCGAAACAACTTTAATATCGAAAGAAGCTGAGTTGGGTGTTGTAACAATTTCATTGACAGAAGTTGCTGTGGTAAAAGGTGACCCATCTTTATTTTCAGTAGACGGTGTTGTAGTAATTGATACAGCTTTATTAATTGAAGATATCAAAGGGGGCCAAACGTTATTGACTAAATCTATAGCCGTTAATGTGGTTTCGTGTTCATTTAGTAAAGATGTTGCAGTAATTGTCATGTCAGTTTTGTTTAACGAAGTTGCTTCGGTAAATGTTGCTCCATCTTCATTCACGAATGTAGCTGCTGTTGATGTAGACAGAGCATCATTTAAAGAAGAAAACGATGTAGCCTGATCATCATTTATAGAAGAAATCGATGTAGACTGATCATCATTTACAGAAGAAATCGATTTGGACTGATCATCATTTACAGAAGAAATTGATGTAGAGTGATCAAAATTTACAGAAGAAATTGATGTAGAGTGATCAACATTTACAGAAGAAATCGATGTAGATTGATCAACATTTACAGAAGAAATTGATGTAGAGTGATCAACATTTACAGTAGAAATCGATGTAGAGTGATCAACATTTACAGAAGAAATCGATGTAGAGTGATCAACATTTACAGAAGAAATTGATGTAGAGTGATCAACAACTACAGAAGAAATCGATGTAGATTGATCAACATTTACAGAAGAAATTGATGTAGAGTGATCAACATTTACAGAAGAAATTGATGTAGAGTGATCAACATTTACAGAAGAAATCGATGTAGAGTGATCATTATTTACAGAAGAAATCGATGTAGACTGGTTATCATATATAGAAGAAATCGATGTAGACTGATCAACATTTTCAGAAGAAATCGATGTAGAGTGATCATCATTTACAGAGGAAGAAACAATGTATGTGAACCCAGGTTCAGTCACCAACATAATTTTACTTAATATTGAATTATCTTCATTTACAGAAGAAGTAGTAAATAGTGAATCAATATTATTTACCCAGGTTTGCGATGTAAATATTGTTTTAACATCATTTTCCGATGATGCTGTACTTTTAATTAGACCATCTTCATGCCCCGATAATTGGGCTGTCGCTAATGCTTCAGCCTCAAGTACCACAGATTCTGGTATAATTGTCAGAAGTTCTTTGACTGAACTACCTGAAGTAAACGTTGACTGATAGTTAAGTGTAGCAGATAGTATAGTAGATGTTGACCCATTGTAATTTTCCATGACTGCTGTCGTAAAACTTGTCTCAAATTTTTTTATTGAAGACAGTTGTGAATTTGTAGAAAGAAGATTGTTTACTGAAAGTGGTGTAGAAAATGCTGACCCCACGTCGTTTACCGTATGTGTCGCAACAACATGTGAATCAACTTCATTGACCGATGATAATGTAGCAGAATTTGACATAATTGTATTTTTACTATATGATGTAGGGGATGTTGATACGATTTGAAGATTTGGAGATGAGACAGTAATTGTTGACATCTCGTCATTTACAGAAGTAGCTGTAGTAAACAGTGTCCATATAACATCGTTTGGAACCTTTGCTGCTAAAAGGTTTACAGTTTCACTTTCTTTTGCGGAAGTTGCAAATTTTGATTTATCGTAAGTAACACGAGATGCTGATGTAAATAATGGTCCTGATTCATTTTCCGACAAAGCTGCATTGAACATCAACTCAAAACTATAAATAGAAGATTCTGCAGCAAAAACTGACCTTACTTCAATATCGGAAGAAGCTTCTCTGGTTGGTGTAGTATATTCTTTAACAGACAATAGTGTAGTAAATGTTGACCAATATTCGTTTGCATCAAACGGTGAAATAAACATTGATGAAACTTTATTTATAGAATAAGTTGATGTTAAAGATAACCAAATTTCATCCGTTAAAAGTGTGATTTTAAATGTTGTTTCATCATTATTTATCAAAGATGTTGCAGTAGTTGTGATCTGAATTGTATTTAACAAAGAAGTTTCTGTAAATGTTGACACTTCTTTAATCAAGAAACTAGCTGCAGTAGATGACAGTTCATCATTTACAGGAAATGGAGCTGTAAATAATGATACATGTTCATTTACAGGAGATGGTGATGGTGATGTTAAAGTTATTGTATTGGTATTTTCTGAAGATGATGTAGCTGAAGAAAAGCCATGTTCGCTAAACAAGGTTACTGGAGTAATGAATGTTTTAGGCGTATTGACTATAAATGCCTCAGTGGTTTGTATCCAACTTGGATTGATCGAACTAACTACAGTAAATTTTGTTTGATCATTAATTGCAGAAGATGGTTGAGTAAATGTTAATCCGACAGTCTGATGTGGAAATGATGATGTAAGCGTTTTCTCAACTGCAACGTCCGAGTGTGCTGCAAAGTTTGACACCTCGTAACTTAGGGAAGTTTTATTCTCCAAAGACGTTTCAATAGTAGCCAACCCTAAATTATTCACAGAAGTTGCAGATGCAAAAGCTAACCCAACTTCAATATTTAAAGATAATGCATTTGATTTTGTAAACATTTCTTTTACAGAAGATTCAGCTGTAAATGTCGACCAATCTTCATTTACAATAGAAAGTGAATTAAGAAATGGTGCAATCTTTTTTGTAGATGATGGCGATGTCACGGTTGACCAAACGTCATCAAATACAGAAGTTGTTGTAAGTGTTGTTTTGTGTTCATTAAGTAAAGATGTTGCAATAATTGGTATATCAATTATATTTAACCAAGATGCTCCGGTAAATGTTGATCCATCGTCATTCCCCAGCGTAACTGTAGTAAATTTTGACTTATCGTCTTTTACAGAAAATGAAGCTGTAGATACTGACCATACTTGAGTTACAGAAGATGTTGATGTAAAAGGTGTTTTATCGTCCTTTTCTAAAGATGATGTAGTCATAATTAAGCTTAGTTCATGGAGAGATGATTCGGCTGGAGTCTCAAACTCTATAGAAGCTCCAGTAAATGTTGACGTATCGTCACTCACAGTTTTTGACGACCAATTTTCATTTTCTACGATCGTTGACGTAAATCGTGTCGTAACAAAATTGACCGAGGCTGGCGCTGACGTCGTGGAATAATGACTAGTTACAGAAAGTGGTGAAGTGAAATTTGACCCAGCGTTTGTTGTGTATGTTGCAGGAACTGGGGACCAAGGTTCCTTTACTTGTGATAGTAAAGTAGGAATTAACGCAGCTTCATTTTCCGTGAATGATGTAGAAAATGTCGAAACGTCTTGAACATTTGGTGATAAAGTAATGCTTGTCTGATCGTTACTTGCGGAAGATGCTGCAATAAATGTTGACAAAACTTCATTTTCTGAATATACTGCGAATGTCTCACCGTATATTATAGAAGAAGCTGTTGAAAATAATGGCCCAGGTTTATTTCCCGAAAAAGTTTCTGCTGAAGTCAACCCAAAGTTATTTTCAGAAGTTGCTACTGTAAAAGCTGACCCAACTTCATTATCCCAAAATGTATTGGATGTTGTAGCAGTTACTTTGAAAGAAGACACTGCAGTAATTGCTGACCCATCTATGTTGACAGCAAAAGACGAAGTAACAATTGATGTAAATTCGTTTATGGAAGCCGATGTTGTGAAAGATGACCCAACTTCATCGAATGAAGATTTTATTGAGAATTTATTTTTTTGGTCGTTTATTAAAGACGATGCAGTAATTACCATGTCAGCTGTACTTAACGGAGATACTGCATTATTTTTTGATCCAACTTCACCTGCAGTAAATGTTGACTGATCATGACTTAGAGAAAAAGATGCTGTTAACAAAGATCCATCTTCTTTAGATACAAAATTGATTTTATTGTTATTTTTTGAAGATGCTACAACAGTAGTTGGATCATATTCATGGTTTGAGAATTCATTTACGGATGAAACTATAGTAGAAGAAGGGGACGCAACTTTGTTTTCCGAATATGACGTAGGAGATGTTGATAAAAAAAGATTTGCAGAAGATGCAGTAATTCTTAACGTCTCGTCACTTACATAAGAAAGTGTAGCAAATGCAGACAAAAAAGCAACATTAAGAAATTCTGCTGTAAAAGTTTCCCAAACTTTACTTTCTGTAGTGTGTGCTGCAAATGTTGATGCAATATAAGTTACATGAGAAACTGTTGTAACCTGTGGCACAGTTTTGTTTTCAGAAAAAACTGCTGAAATAAAAACCGTCGGAAAATGATTCTCCGAAGAAGCAACACTACTAGCTGACCCAACATCAATATCCGAAGTTGTACTGAATTTTGTAAGAACTTCTTTAAATGAAGATACAGCGGTAAATGTTGACCAGTCTTCATATGCAGGGGAAGGTGAAGTAGAACGTGATGCAATTTTGTTTGTTGGTGATGTTGATGTTGGTGATGTTGATGTTGGAGATGGTGATGTTGGAGATGGTGATGTTGGAGATGGTGATGTTGGAGATGGTGATGTTGGAGATTGTGATGTTGGTGATGGTGATGTTGGAGATTGTGATGTTGGAGATTTTGATGTTGGAGATTGTGATGTTGGAGATTGTGATGTTGGAGATTGTGATGTTGGAGATTGTGATGTTGAAGATGGTGAAGTTTGTACAGTAAATGTTGTTTTATCGTCATTTACAGAAGAAAAAGGTGTAAATAATGACGAAACTTTATTTACTGAAGAATGTAAAGGAAAGATGGTGTTATCGGTATTTTCTAAAGATGCATCATTAAACACTGACTCAACTAGATGTTGCGAGGTTTCGGCAGTAAATAATGTGTCAAAGTTATTTGTCAATGTTGCTTCAGTTATTTTAGACCCATTATCATTTACGTTATTATCAACTGTAAATGTTGACTGACTGTCATTTGAGAAGGGTGGTCCTGTCAACGATAATTCAACTTGATTTATAAAAGACGCCGATGTAAATAATGACCAATTCTTATTTACCAACACTGCTTCAGTGAAACTTGGATCAACATAATTTATCGAGGTTGATACTGAATCTGTTGAATACGCATATTTAAATGTTGATTGTTCAGTGAATGTTGAATCGACGTCGTTTACAGTAACATATGACGCAACTTCGTTTAATGATGGCACTGCAGTAGAAGTTGATGTATTTTCATTTAAAGAATATAATGTAGTAATTGTTGACACACCTTGATGGTTTGGAGATGCTAATGTAAAAATGGATAGATCGTCTTGTATGGTAGAAGCTGTAGTAAATGTTGAACCAACGGCATTATATAAAAATGCCGTAGAAAAAGTTTTTTCTTCTTTGTTTTCTGATAAAGGTGCTCCAAATGTTGCCTCATCTACATTTATAGAAGACTCTTTTGTAAATAGAGACAGAACTTCGTTTTCCAAAACCATTCCGTAGGAATTCGTTATGATTTTGTGTACAGAAGGCATTGCAGTAATTGTTGACTCATCTTTATTTACTGTAGACGATGGAGTAGAAGTTGACAGAGACTTAGCTTCAGTTTTCCAGGAAGCTGGAGTAAATGTTGACCCAGCTTCATTTACAATATAAGAGGTAAAAGTTGTCTCATTTACCGAAGTCGGGGATGTAAAAGGTGACAAGATTTTATTTCCCGTAGTTTGGGCTGTCAATGTTGTCTCATGTTCATATATGGATGGTGTTTCAGTGAATGTTGTACTGATATCATTTAACAAAGATGTTGCAGTAACTGCGTTCCTAGCTTCATTTAACAAAGATGTAGCAGTAACTATTGTACTGATATCATTTAACAAAGATGTTGCAGTAACTGCGATTCCGGCTTCATTTAACAAAGATGTTGCAGTAACTATTGTACTGATTTCATTTAACAAAGATGTTACAGTAACTGCGGTCCCTCCTTCATTTAATAGAGAGGTTGTAGTAACTGCGGTACTAGCTTTATTTAACAAAGAAGTTGCAGTAACTGTTGTACCGATTTTATTTAACACAGATGGTTCAGTAATTATTGTACTGATTTCATTTAACAAAGTTGCTGCAGTAAACGTTGGACCAACTTTATTTAACAGAGTTCTGGTAGTATTTTCGTCATTCATAAAGGAAGTTGTAAATAATGTCCCAACATTATTTACCAAAGCAGGTGTTGTTAAGATAGTTGTATCGGTATGTTGTAAAGATACATCAGTAAACATTGACTCAACTTGATGTTGCGAGGTTTGGGCAGTAAATAATGTTTCAAATTTATTTATTAATGATGCTTCAGTAATTTCTGTCTTAACGTCATTGACTCTATGATCTAATGTTGTCTGATTGTCAAAGATGGAAGGTGGTGTATCTTCAGTTATAACTGTCGCTTTTGTAAATGTTGACTCCTTAATGTTGTCGAACTCAGCTGTAGTAAAACTTGGAGCAACGTAATTTGCTGTAGAGGGTTCTAAACTTTTTGAATGAACATCATTTACAGAAGATGTAGGGAATTTTGCCTCAACTTCCTCTACCGTGTATATTTCAGCAACTAATGAAATAACTTTATAATCCGAAAATGCGACAAGGGGTGTAATAAAGGTTTCTTTTACAGAAGATTCTGCAGTTAACATTGACATAATTTCAGTTTCCAAAAATGTTGTAAAAGTTGTTTGGTCGTTTTTGTTAGAAGATATTACATATGGAGTTAAGACACCTTCATGGACTGAGGACTGTGCAGACACCAATGCAGAAGTTAAAACACCTTCATGGACTGAGGATTGAACAGAAGACAATGCTCCAGCCTCGTTCACCATAGATGCTGACGTGATTTTTGCCCAAACTGCTTTGACAGAACTAGATGCTGTAAATATTAACTGATCGTCAATTACTGAATATCCTGCGGTTATTGGTGACCTTGTCATGTTTATTAAAGAAGGTGCAATTAATGTTCCATTTGTATTTTCCAAGACAGCTATACTTAAAGGTGTTGCCACGCTATTTTCAGACGTTGATCCTGTAGTTGTCGTAGGAACGATATTTTCTGAAGATTCAACAGCTAAAGTCGACTCAATGTCATGTTTCGAAGACACTTTATAAAATGTTGACCGAACCTCATGAGAGAAAGGGACTGTTATAAATGTTGACCCTGAATCAAACACTGAGGACGCTTTATACAATGTTAAATCAGCGTCAGCAAATGGGGACCAAACTTTAGTTGATAAAAGAGCTGAAGTAGATGTTAACTCAAATTTACGTTCTGTTGAGAGTGTCATTAATGTTGACGCATCATCATCTACATACGAAGCTGCTGAAAATAATTGTGACTCAACTTTATTTTCTGAGGTAGCTACCGTTAAAGTTGACACAACTTGAGTATCCGAAAATACTGAATCTAATGTAGCAGTTTCTTTTACAGAAGACACTGTAGTAAATAATGACAAAACTTTAATGCCGAAAATCGATAAATCATTTGCTGACTTGTCGTTAGTTATAGAAAAAGAAGCTGTAACTAATGAGTGAACTTCGGTTAGCAAAAATGGCAAAGTAATGATTGATTTATTATTGTTTTCTGAAGATGGTGTAATAATTGTCGATACCCCTAAGCGGTGCAAGGTTTCAGCATTAAACGAAGTTACAAATTTATCAACCCATGATTCTTCAGTAATTGTTGTCCCACTGTCGTCTACTTTATGAGTATATGTAAATGTTGACTTATTGTCAATTACAGACGATGGTGGAGTAAATAGTAACCTCACATCATTTATTACAGACACCGATGTAAATGATGATTCCTTTTTATTTACCAACTCTGCTGCTGTAAAACTTGGAGCAACATCATTTACGTCAGATAGCAGTGACATTGTTGAATGAACATTATGTGCTGAAGGTGGTTCAGCGAATGTTGAAGTAACATCGTTTACTAAATATGCAGCTGTAATGTGTGACAAAACCTCGTGTACTGTTGAATGTGTAGTAGAAATTGAAGCAGCATCATTTTCCAAATACGATACAGTAAATGTTGACACAATGTTGCTTATATATGTTTCAGTAACAGAGGATCCAAGTTCTCTATTCGAAGACTCTGCACTGGATGTAATAATGTTTTGGACATAAGACTGTACTATAAAACTTGATGCAACTTCAATTCTCAATGAAGTTTCAGCAAAATTTGTGGACCAAACTTTCTCTACTGAAGTTGTTGTAGAAATTATTGCATTGTCATCGATTTCTGACGATACTCTATTAATCAATGACTCACTTGTGTAACCAGAAGCTAATTTCAATAATGTTGTTGTAACTTCATCTACTGACAATACTAAACTGATTAGGGTTTCAGTTGCGGTTGCAATGGATGACGTAATAAATGTTGACTCGTCTTTTAAAGTAGAAGGGGCTTGTGTATTGGACGAGACAACGAGAGCCCCAGCGAAAACTGACCAATCGCAAGTGTCGTACTTGATCGTGCTAGACACAGATGCCTGGCGAAGCTGCTTTGAAAAATGTATGTGACTTTAACGTTTTGTTTTGGGAAAAAACATGGATTAATATGAATAAGTCATTTTGTATGTACGAAAATAAGTGTATTATTAGTGTATTTATTTTCCACGACTTAATATTATGTCTAAAAGACCCCCCCTCCTTCCCCTTTTTGTTTGGGGAAAATATTTTCACATATTTTTTTATCTATGTTAAATCTATTGGTTATTTTGTATATATGAAAATTAGTGTAATTTCTTTAACGGTACATTAAAACATTCCTGCACTGTACAAAATAATATCTATTATCCATGACTTAATCGTATGCCTCAACCCCCCACCCCCCGGCACCACACACAACTTGATCCAGTTGCCATAGAAACCACTGATGCCCCAGAAAATCTAGTCAAGAGCATCCCCGTGTACCACAACCCGCTCTAACTCTCGACAATACAGCTCCTTCAACAAAACATAAAACACAAAAATCTTTACTTACCGTGCCATCAAAACCTAGGGGTATAGCGTTACCAATGTTAGTCACACGCGCAGACACAAAACCACCAAACAGACATTCCTTGTTCTGTATGGTGTGGCGGGTCAAGCCAACTAAAGGGAAATTGTTTGTCTCAAATGTGCCTGTGTTTTCATAGTTCCAGTTTGTAATAATCACAGGCACACCGTCAAGCTAGAGTTAAAGAAAGTAAATATTTATAGGCACACCAGCAAACTAGGATAGACGAAACAAAATACTGTTTTAGTTCTACACTTTACCAAATGCTACTTATGCATCGTATTACCATGAACATTAATTTTTTGCCAGCTTGGGCGCTTAAACCCATGTCTGTTTACTTACTTTCACTAGACGTCATTCTTTGAAGGGAAAAAATAGGGTTAAATTTTTACTTGATCTTCAAGGTTTTAATATATAAACCGTGAGGCATTGTTAAAATAACTTTGATGCTATTTTAAGCAATCTGTTTATGTTAAGATTTCTCCAAAGACTAGAATGTAATAAGCATTTGGCTTAATTTTAAAATTAAATCAAACAATTGAATAAAAAATATTTGATAAACGATTAGGATTAGCAGTTTTCCTCATTTGTATATCCGCACTTATTCCGTGTTAGACGATATCAATCTATAATTAACATAAATTTAAAACTCAATCCAGTTATCAACTTAACAGGAACATATTTTTGTTTTTCTAAGTATTCCACAGAAAAGTAACAGCTTAGACCTGGTTTCACACCATTTGGAACAGACTAAATATATGGGTCAAACTCACCAAAACATCAGAGCAACAATTCCTGTAAATGACCAATGTCCTAGTAAACTCACCAAAAACTGTAAGTGACCAATGTCCTAGTAAACTCACCAAAAACTCCGAGCAACAATTCCTGTAAGTGACCAATGTCCTAGTAAACTCACCAAAAACTGTAAGTGACCAATGTCCTAGTAAACTCACCAAAAACTCCGAGCTACAATTCCTATAAGTGACCATAGCCCTAGTAAACTCACCAAAAACTCCGAGCTACAATTCCTGTAAACAATTCCTGTAAGTGACCATTGTCCTAGTAAACTCACCAAAAACTCCGAGCTACAATTCCTGTAAACAATTCCTGTAAGTGACCATTGTCCTAGTAAACTCACCAAAAACTCCGAGCTACAATTCCTGTAAACAATTCCTGTAAGTGACCATTGTCCTAGTAAACTCACCAAAAACTCCGAGCAACAATTCCTGTAAGTGACCACTGTCCTAGTAAACTCACCAAAAAGTCCGAGCTACAATTCCTGTAAGTGACCAATGTCGCGACCAACGATTCCCCACCAGTAGAAACATAAGCCAGAGTGTAGCTCATGGACCAGCTGTCTACTGGATGTATCAGGACAAACGCTCCGTCAAAGTCTAAATGGTAAAATCGTATCAGAACTTTTTAAAATTTATTCTTTAAAACTAAAACGATTGACGACTAAAAAAGAGTCTAACCAGTGACTTTTCTAATTTATAAAGAACTAATTATTTTTTAAAGTTTGAGACGAAAACTATCATTTTCGTGTAATCAAATAGAGGCGATAGATTCTTAAAATATGCTACTTCATGAAAATTAGATATATATTTATTGAATTCAGAGCATTTTTGAGGAACAGGAAATATAGAAAAATGCCACACCTGGTAACCAGAAATCGTACAAAAGGTGGTAGATACATAAGTAGAGGATTAAATTTAATTAAACTAAAACGGTATTAAATTTATCGTTTAACACACATACTTAAAAATGTATAAAACTGCGTTTCAGGACTGAGGAATATGTGAAACGTCAATATTAGTTAAAATCTCGATTACGATTTGTTCAACTCGTGTACGAGGAAATAAAAGCAGACAAAAATTTCTCACCTGAACTTCCCTCACTTAAAAGCACAAGAATTGGTTTAGTGGAGTAGAGAGCGGTACTTGCTCCAGATGTAAGTGTGTACTCTCTAAAGTTCGGGTTTTCGTTTAGTATCTTGAGCACGGACGTGTCAAAGGTCAGGTTGGTGTTTTGTTCCGTGTAGACAATCTTGACGATAGAGTTGAAGTTACTGAAGGGATAGGTTGCAATGATGAAAGCGGTACCGTAGGAATCTGATGGCGTCATTTGTTCCACAACTTGGTCCTTGAATACAGAATGGATGGGCATAAATTTATGAGTAAAGAATGTTTACCAAACAAACAAAAACATAGCGATCGAAGATAATCTCCTTCAAGACCAAACGCAGACTTTCAAAAGTAATGTCCTTTGCGTCTTATTATTTGGTAGCGACCAAATAATAAGGAAAGGAAAACATGGAGGAGAACGGTAGAGGAAGAGGCGAAAACAGCTGGGCTCTCATGGGCACAGATTGGAATAGCAGCCCAAAACCGAGTCCGCTGGAGATGTGTGGTTGCAGCCGTTTGCTCCTCAGGGGCCACAAAGGAGTGATGATGATGATGATGATGATTTGGTAGTGAATGCTGGAAAGTAACAACCGTCACCAGCAGATCACTGGACTCTTTCCAAACTAAGTGCTTGTGTTAGATATAAAGCATCCACTGGCCTAGTACCATTTCCAATGATACACTACTAGGAGGGATGGAAATGGAAGCAGTGGCCGAAATAATCGAAAAAAATAAGATGGCGTTCGATGGGGCACGCCTTAAGAATGAATCCAAATAATGTTTTTGTTGTAGATTCAACAGGTTAATAGAAAGGTTTACTTACCTTTGAGCTGGAATTAACTGTTGTAAAAGATCCCCCAGTTACAACAGCAACAACACCATCAGCTACAACAACACTCCCGGACATGTCAACAGTAGACCCTAGAACCTGCATGCTGCTGAATTCTGGGGGGGGGGGGGGGGGTAAAAAAATTACAGTAACCATTGAATAACGTTTTATTTTTTATTTTGTTTGTAATCATTGATTAACCCTTTAAGTAAATTGTAAAAAAAATCCTCTTAGCGATCCATTGGGCAGATGAAGTAGAGTTCACACGTTTCTTGACCTCGTCATATGAAGGGAAGCTGTGGTCAGCACCATGCCCAGTCGCCTTTACTTTCCATAACATGAGTTAGGTACCCATTAGAGCTGGGTGGACTCACGGACGTTCTACTGACTTGGACCCGGATTCGAACTAGAAACTTTCGGGTTAGCAGACTAGAGCTCTACCTCTCAGGTCACGCCCGACCTAGTGACCTATAACAAGCTATACTTACCTCTCAGGCACTGCGTGATGACGTCACCATGTCCATACTGCCTGGTGCCGAAGCTAACTTGAGGTGTCGCGACACTTGAGTACTTGGTTAAGGCCAAGATCACTCGGACGGTGACCCCAGCGTGAGCCGTCACGACCACGATGAAGCAGTCGTTGGTCTGGCAGTAGGTGATCACGTGATATCGCATGGACAGTTGAGTCAGCGGCAGGACCAGGAAGGTGCCACGTGACCTGAAACTGGGGCTGAAATTTGAATCATTAGCCAGAATAAGAAATCATAACAGATGTTTTTAAAAGTCTATAGAGTGAGGATTAAATGAAAAATGTATCTAAATACACTACAGTAGAAAATTACAGGGCGAGTTAAACAGCTGTTGGAAGAAAAGGATTATTTGTCTCTCGAGTTCGAACCTTCGGGCAGATGAGGCTAAATATCTGAGGATAACAGCTCTTCATGGAGAGAAAACCACAAAATCAAACAACTTCTGCGTAATACTTTAATCTTGGATGGACAATGGCTATGGAAGCAAAGAAAAGAAAAGAAAGAAAAGAAGGTTGAAATCGGAGTCAACGGCCTAACACGTTGACACGCATACTTAACTGTGTTGGAAGTAATCCGGTATAACATTACAATTAAAAATAAAGAAGAAGAAAACTAAGAAATTTGAAATTTCTTAGCTCCATCAACCCCTCCTGAGTTTTAAGCCACTCAACAAAACAAACCTGAAGACAAGTTCTGTAGCAGACACAACGATGTCGCCGTCAGCTTTCACGTACACGGCGCTGTTGGACACACCGGATGTTGACAACATCAGACTATAAGGTAAACTGTGGACAGACAAGTTGACAACATCAGACTATAAGGTAAACTGTGGACAGACAAGTTGACAACATCAGACTCTAAGGTAAACTGTGGACAGACAAATTGACAACATCAGACTATAAGGTAAACTGTGGACAGACAAGTTACATCAGACTTTAAGGTAAACTGTGGACAGACACATTGACAACAACAGACTATAAGGTAAAGTGGAGACAGACTAAATGAGTTTTGTCAGAAATGTATATCAACATTGTAAAAAAAAGTTAAATAATTTTAATTTTATAGAGTATAAATATTTCTTTTGCTTCTATCCATGCTGATATTTTATTTGTCTAAAAGTGAGTTTTATATTGAAAACAAAGAAGGTGGCATTAATGTATGTGGATCGTTTTAAATAAATAACACTTACAATTGTAATTAGAATTACAACAATAGCATCTAAGTTTGATTAAAAAGAGTTTCTATTAATTTTGTTAAAGCAGAAATAACATCAAGATTAGTGCAATCAACTTTTTACCAATGCAAGCGATTGCGTTATCAAAAATATGAAGTGTAGTTAAAACTACTGAATTTAAAACAAATTGAAAAAAAATTCACACATCGTCGATTATTGAAGCTAGAACATATATTTATTTGATAAGTTTTAATTATCAACGCTAAATGAGTTAAATATACTTGAGGATCATTATTTATACGTGCAATAGAAATTTCGATTGCTATCGGACATAACTATCATTGATAACTCTAGACAAATAATCGATAGTTTAATGGTTTTCAAGTATTATATGTTTCGCGGTTCGCTTACGCCATGAAATATAAATGATGATGAAAGAACTCAAACAATGGTTTTGCCAAGAACGTTTTAGTTTTTAGGATGTAGCTAGTTATGAAAAGAAGTTGTTTTGTCGGCTATGTTCTGTAAACAGTTATTTTATAATTATGGATTTTATATGTCGTGATGTTTAATAATTATGTTGTGATGTTGTGTCTAGATGGTATGTCTATATGCTATATCGTGATGTCTGGATGGTATGTCTATATGCTATATCGTGATGTCTGGATGGTATGTCTATATGCTATATCGTGATGTCTGGATGGTATGTCTATATGTACTTTTATGGGAATTAGGGTGAGATAAATATCCATGGATAATCTGCATATAAGTCTATCTGTTTGTGTGTCATGATTTGGAAATGTTGTTGTGTATGTATTATTCTGAGAACGTGTGCGCATTGTGTTTCTTTAAACGTTGGCATGTTGATCTCTCTTGTTTACAAATTATCCTTTTCACATAGTTATATTTAAATACAAATAACAACACGAATAGCAATGTATTCACCCCTTACTCAATCACCACAAAGAGCAATGTAATCAACACTTACTCAATTACCACACAGAGCAATGTAATCAACACGTACTCAATCACCATACAGAGCAATGTAATCAACACTTACTCAATTACCACACAGAGCAATGTAATCAACACTTACTCAATCACCACACAGAGCAATGTAATCAACACTTACTCAATTACCACAAAGAGCAATGTAATCAACACTTACTCGATCACCACACAGAGCAATGTAATCAACACTTACTCAATCACCACACAGAGCAATGTTATCAACACTTACTCAATCACCACAAAGAGCAATGTATTCAACACTTACTCAATCACCACACAGAGCAATGTAATCAACACTTACTCAATCACCACACAGAGCAATGTAATCAACACTTACTCAATCACCACAAAGAGCGATGTATTCAACACTTACTCAATCACCATTAACAATGACAACAGCCCACATATTTTGTAGTCAGTAGCTGGCAAAACATCTTCAGCTTGTGGGGCGGATACTGGAAATAAAACACACAAAATAGTTAAAATAAATCAGCGCTAATTTGTCATTGTTTCAATTATTTGGTAATTAGAAATGCCATAAAGATAAAAATCATACACAAATTTCAATGTCTCTATGTGCAGATTTTTAACATATAATTTTTACACAGTTAACATGGTATGCTATTCATTTAGTTTGGCTAAAAGATAATCAAAATTTGTAGTAAAACGTTCTAAAATGAGGATATTAAACAAAACATTCTTTCAACCATTAACAGCATTTTTGATGCACATATTCCTGGAATACATTAACCGTTTGCTATTAAGTTAAGTCTACTGCCCTTCCCTTAATAAACTAAGTTGAAAACAGCAGAAGCAGTCTCGTAAGTTGAACCTGTTAACGTAAACACAACATCGACGAGTCTGTTTAGCCAGTTAACTTTAAACACAACCATCACAAGTCTGTTAAACCTAACATTTTAACATAAAAACACCAGCATGAATTTGTTTAACCAGTTAACCTTAATCACAACCATCACCTAACCTGTGAAGGTCACCACCTGATCTCCCACACAGACCATGGTCAAACTTGTTGTATTGTAGTTGAATTGAGATTTTGGGAAGGCCAACACGAATTCTCTCCCCTCATTGCGGGCACACTCTGGAGAAGAAGGATAAAAATAATCATTTTTCTGAAAGTTAAGTGTTAACGAATTAAAAGGTCCTGTAATAAAGTGACAAATGCTATTAAGGTCTTTTAACTAATGTTCTAGAATAAATTTAACATGCAGATGCAAGTCTCGACTCTCGATATGTAAGATTGCCATACTGTAGATCCTAAGACCTTTAACAGAACATATTAGCAAGTCTCGACTTTTGATAAGTAAAGATTGTCACAGTGCTAACCATAAGACCTTTGCAGGAACAGATTCCCTCTACTTTATATACTACATGCAAAGACATAAAAGCATGCTTTTAAAATTACAATTATTTACATTTCTAATGGACATTAGGTGGGTTGGCCTGGTCGAGCCGGTAAAGCTCATGGCTGCTAAAACGAAAAGTCTCAAGTTCGAACCCTCGGGCAGATGAGGCTCGATAGCTGGTGTCAGCAACTCCTCTAGGAATGCTAATTCCAAAATCAAACAACTGGCCTTGTAGTTTGTTCTTGGTTGGACAAAGGCTATGGAAGCATATCCAAAAAGAAAAGCATTCAGAAATCGGAGTCAACGGCTCAACCAGTTGACAAATATACCTAATTGTATTGTTGGGGATCCCTTCCACCACTAAAATTCAGAATGAAAAAGCCGAAATTTAGACATTAAAATAAAAAAAAAAACAACTTAAAAGCTTGTTTTAAAGTTTTAAAAATACATCAAAGTATTTCTTTCTGTTTATTGTTTAGATCTTTGTTAAAAAAAAGTCAAAATATATTTATATTTGTTATTGACTTCGATTTGAAACAAGATATCTTCTTGATTAAAGCCTTTATTATAGTTTTTAAAATTAAAATAATATCATGTTACCTGTGTAAGCCAATGCCAGAAGTATCAGACAGTACACCTGCATTGTAAACATCAACTGGAAAGTTTGTGATTCTCGTGCATTAAAATGTAACCATTCCTTCACTACCATCCAGTAAACTGAAGTTCAACTATTCCTGCTCTATTATACCGTACATTAAAATACAAATACCTGTGTTGGTTAAGTTTTTTTTAAAAACACAGTATCGCAGTATCACAATTTTGAAAAAAAAAACATTGTGCTTGTCGGCAGTCCTCAGAAGAAGCAATCAATACTAAAGCTAATAGCCCATGACAAGATGTGTGAATAATGTTTTTAAGCTTCCTGTGTGTGTCTTTTGTTTCATGAATAATACATCGTACTTAACGAACCAGAAATAGAAATAGATACAAATTTAACCACTATCCACTATCTACTACCAGTATCACTATCCACTATCTACTACAACTATCCACTATTTACTATCCACTATCCAATACCAATACCAATACCACTATCCACTATCAATTATCTACTACCAGCATCACTAGCCACTATCCACTACTACTATCCACTATTCACTATCCACTACCCACTATCTACTATCCACAACTATTATCCACTATCCACTATCTACTATCCCCTATCCCCTATCCACTATCCACTATCCTTTATCCGCCATCCACTATCCACTATCCACTATCCACTATTCTCTATCCTCTATCCTCTATCCTCTATCCTCTATCCTATATCCACCATCCCCTTTCCACTATCCATCATCCACTATCCACTATCCACTACCAGAATCGCCTATTTAACTTCCAAATTCCCTTGTCCAGGATTCCCTTGGCCTCCATTAAAAACCCCAGGTGAGTATCGACCTAGACGAGCAGTTCAGTAGAGTCATGTGATGGCAAGTGTGCTACAGTTATCGGGACTGAGTGGTAGGGCGGTGGAGCGCACGAGTTTTTGAACCTGTGGCAGGTGAGGTAGAGTTAACTTGTTCCTGTGACTTCGGCCTATAAAAGGGCTAGCGTGGTCAGCACTAAGCCAAGCCGCCTTTACCTCACCTAACGTGAGTCAGGTACAAATAGCTGGTAGTACTCACGGACATCTCATATTCGAGCCCGGGATCCGAACTCGAGACTTTCGGGTTAGGAGTCGTATGCTCTACCATTCAACCTCGTCGTCCAACTCAACCCATCTTTGTTACATATTCAAATTTTTATCTTTGAAGTCGGAGTATAAAGTTGGAAATGGTATTAACACACTCAACGTATTGTGCCCATTCATGAAGTAACACATATCTAAATAAGCCATAGAAGTGAAAGTTCGATATAGACTTTGTGAAGAAATATGAAATTTAACGAGAAGATTGTATGGAATAACTTATGTACATTTCACTAAACTTTATGTTAAGAAATAACACCTTACAACTTAACTTAACTAAAGAAATCAATATTTAATTACATGTTAATTGTAACGAGCATCGCAGTTGCTCGATTTTAGTCACTAATTAACTCTAAAAAACTTAAATGGGCACAATTGAGTATAGCTTGTATAAAGATGGTAAAGGGGTTAGATCATTTGCGCTACTCGACGTCTAATTAAAAAGTAACAGCTGTGTGGCTACAGGTCCTCATAAGATTTAACCAGTGCTTGCTTCTTGGGAGAAAGACTGCATAGGTAAGACGATTTTAGTTAAGGTTTAGCTCAAATAAATGCAGTGTAGAACTACAATAAATTTTTAGAATTTTTTTTTTGTATTTAAATAATAGAGGCCTAGGGACGGCATGCCCTAGTGGTAGAGTGCTAGACTGCTAGTCCCGAGAGTCTAGAGTTCGAACCCGTATTCAAATCAGTAGAACGTACCTGCCCACACTATCCCTTCATATGCCGAGGTCTCTGAAACAGAACTCTGTTTCATCTGTCCCATTTGTCTTGGGATATGATGATGATTTATAAAGCTAGCTTTATCATTATTTAAAAGAAATGGTACAATACAGTACTATTAAACTTAATCAATTTCAACACGTAAACTTTAATTAGTAATGATTTAAAATAAAACTTTAACAAACATGCAAATCATCTAATTGATTTATTTGAATAATTTCTGAGTTATCCTTACTGTAATAATGTTTGTCTCCCCTGTTTTCAGGCAACAACATGCGGTTATTCCTTCTTCTCACAGCGGTTGTCACCGCCGTGTGTGCACAAAAGTAAGTGGGGGTGAAAGGTTAATTAGCCTAATCAGCAAAAGTAATCTTATTAATTTTGAAATTTAGGTATAGTTGAAGTTTTAAAAAATTAGCTTAAAGTTTAATAAAGTTTTGTATTTCTGTTTTTAAAATAACAAAAACAATAATAACAACAACATCATTATTCACATTCATAACTGTTTGGGGCGTTTCGTTGAATGATATATTTTCGGGGGCCATTTTATCCACTTAACCGGTTAAAGTCTCGAATGTTTTTGTCACAAAGATTATAAAGTAAAACGATCATGCTTTTAAAATGTATTTTTTAGTTTATATTTTAAGAAACAGATAAATGATATACATTTTTTACGTTCCAGCTCGTATGTCGTCATTGCCCCGTCAGCGATCCGCCCCAACATGGACTTCACCGTCAGTGTCAACATTCTCAAGGCCACCAGTGACGTCACGGTCGTCGCTAAAGTTCTAAGGGACAAAACTCTTGTGGCTAGCGCCGAGAAAGTCTTCAAATCAGGTGAGTTAACATCTCTTCGTTAACGGAACGATGATGTCATATATAGAAAGCAAGTACAAATAACATTTATAATAACAAGCAGCTTAATTTAAAACGACCATATCAAAATGTGTATTTTCTCATTCCCAGGTTCTCCTGGTATGATCAACATAAAAGTGAGTCAAAGATTAATGAACGATTTTAATTTGAAAATTGTATAATTTCCATAATATCTTAGATAATTTATTTTTTCTAACCTTGTTATATATGACAAATACAATCCCTCCTCCCAATCCCCTCCATCAACGCACACACAGCTACACACCGTCCTGCCCAAAGACTACTACTCTCTCAAAGTCTGTGGCATAGGTGGTCTGGTCTTTGACCAGGCTGTCTTCTCAGCTACAGCAGCAAACAGTCTCAAAGTTTCTTCCAGCAAAGAGTCTACAGCAGCAAAGAGTCTTCGTTGTTTATACAACTGAATATGGCCATCTTAAAAAAAAGCAAACATTTAATTTATTTTCTTCCGGAATTCATCTAGAGTTTAGAAAAAAAAAAGAGATTAAAAATATTTTTCATAAAAAAGTTTGTATTATATCCGCCTTCTGTAGAGTAAGACAAATGCTATGTTACGTTACATGGAAACAAATTTTTATCGAGGAGGGGGATGTAAAAACATCATGTTTCTGTATTATAACTAATAAGAGAGACTACCAAAGTTATAGGTTATTTTACGTTATTAGTTGATATGATGAAAGGATATCTTTCCCCAGCTTCCCGCTGACCTACCCAACAGCGGCTACATGCTGAAAGTCGTTGGCAGCGGTGGTTTGGTGTTTGACAAGTCTAAGAGTCTCAGCTACAACAGCAAAGAGGCTTCGTTGTTTATACAGCTGAATAAGGCCATCTTTAAGCCTAGTGATACAGGTAGGTAGACGTTTATATAAGGCCATCTTTAAGCCTAGTGATACAGGTAGGTAGACGTTTATATAAGGCCATCTTTAAGCCTAGTGATGCAGGTAGGTAGACGTTTATATAAGGCCATCTTTATGCCTAGTGATACAGGTAGGTAGATGTTTATATACGGCCATCTTTAAGCCTAGTGATACAGGTAGGTAGACGTTTATATAAGGCCATCTTTAAGCCTAGATATACAGGTAGGTAGACGTTTATATAAGGCCATCTTTAAGCCTAATAATACAGGTAGGTAGAGGTTTATAAAAGGCCATATTTAAGCCTAGTGATACAGGTAGGTAGACGTTTATATAAGGCCATCTCTAAGCCTAGATATACAGATAGGAAGAAGTTTTTATAAGGCCATATTTAAGTCTAGTGATACAGGTAGGAAGAAGTTTTTATAAGGCCATGTTTAAGTCTAGAGATACAAGTAGGTTGAATGTTTCCAAATTCAAAAATAAATAATAATAATTTGCATTATAGATTGCGAACTTTATTAAATCTGGAAACAAAATTATATTACCGTTTCTAGGCTATGTGGTATGTGCTAATGAATACCTCAAGTTGAAAAGTCAACTGTACTATTGAGTGGGCAGACGAGGCTCGAAAGCTGGGGACAGCAACTCTTTTAGGAAAGAAGACTCCAAAATCAAACAACTGCAGCCTTGTAGTTTGCTCTTCGTTGCACAACAGCTATGGAAGCAAAACCAAAAACAAAAGCAGGCTGAAATCGTAGTCAATGGCCTCAATGGCGAATAACCAGTTGACACGTATACTTAATTACATTGGAGGGAAACTCTTCCAACATTCAAAATAAAGAACGAAGAAGAAGAAAAATCGCTACATATACCTCACTGCTAGTAGTATTTACGCTTATTCCATCCATACAAACTGGCACTTCGTCCCTCCCGACGATTTTGTGAAGTGAAAATTTGAGAAGAATATTATATATTTAAATATAAATAAATATTTTATTCCCAGTGAAGTTTAGAGTGTTTGGCGTGTATTCTGACTTGCAGTCGTACAAAGGAACAATGGACATTTCCATTTTTGTGAGTACTTTGTTATGCCACCATTGTGAATCAGTATAAAAAAACCAAGTGTTTTGGAATTGCATGTTGGTACAGGTACGCTATACATGAACTTACGTGAACTTTTTTGATTCTGGTACAGGACGCGCAAAACAACAAGATCAAACAATGGGTCAAGGTCACTGCAGAGGAAGGCGTCTTCACTCAGGAGCTGACACTGTCGTCTCAACCAGTTCTTGGGGACTGGAAAGTTGTCGTTGAAGCTGGCGTAAAATGTTTTTCAATGCTTTCTTTAATGTACTTTTGGTTTTTAGCCATTCCACGATTTTGGTCTGTAGGACAAACAATCGTTTCTACATTAAAAATAAA